AAATGATTCTTCAAACAATGTATTTATTGACTATGAAAATTTTGAGACAAAAATCAATATAAAAAAATTACACGAGCATAACAAAAAAATCATAACATAAAAGTATTCTGATGTACCTTCAGCACAGTATCCAATAGGTTAAACAACTTAGGATTCAGTAAACAGTTATAATATCTTACTAAAGGTTGACAAATTTTGTCACATTTGGCAATATGAAACAGATTTCAAAATAGTTTTGGGTTGGTACGTGACTTTTCCAGGGAAATCTACTTTTAATGGAAATAGAAAACAAATACATTGACCAAATTGCCAATTTTCATAGATTTAGTGATCTAGTATTTCAAACATTCATAACCTTTCATGGTTCAGTTTCTCTTGTTTTCTACTTATTTCAAAGATTGGATTGCCCTTTAATCTTGCAAAGATGTAATTGACAATTTTAACCATAATATTTTTGAGCAGGTATTTTCCCCTTAAAATTTGTTGAATTACGTACTCTGTTTATACTTAAGTACAACTTGATAGCCCAAAACCCTTCAGAGCATTTTCAAAGTTCTAATAAACCACATGTTTGCCGATTTGATGATCCGTGGAAGTATGATATCGTTGTTGGCTTCCATACATCATCACCAGGGGCACGTTTCAGAAAGCCTTTTTTAATGACAAATTACAAAAATTATGGACAAATCTGCTGATAACCGATCAGAAGTAAGGATTTCAGTAGCTTAAATAACAAAAACTGTCAATTGTCACTGATGACAAGTTTTGTGAAATGCACCCCAGAACATCATCCAGAAGCTTTATGAATAGAGCTGAGGTGTTTAACACCTTCAACAACCCTGATACAACTGCAATGATAACACCTACCCAAACCCTAAGCCTGAGGATAACCCCTGGTATTATTAAACTCCCACCTGTCCCGAAGAGCATCATTACTCACCTGTCCGAAATCTAGGTAGGAAGTAGCTTATTTTGGCTGCTCTGCCTCCCTCTATTGGTCCACACATGACTTAGGCTCGGAGACAGTGTAGATACCACAGGATGACTTTTGATAACCCCCTAGGGAGGTTTTGATTTCCAGAATTTGTTTTCTTGAAGGTCAGTTTTGACAGGTAAAATTGATATGAATGACTAACAAAGGTTGAAGACATTTAGTACTGTGAGTGTTTGGACTATTTATAAGTTGTGAAACAGTTTCCGGGATTTGTTTTCAAGAAAGAAACTTTGTCTTGGTTAATGGACTTTAATATCCACCTACAGGTGGGAGGAAATGAGAAAACTGTATTTGGGACATGATGTTAGTGATTTTTTGACTTATTCTTATTTTACTTAAAATGGTATCAGATGTGTGGTTTCCAACTTTCACAACAGCAATGATGCTCTGTACAAAAGGAAATATTATGAATGAAAGGGAATACTGGTGAGATTGTTGTGCATGGTATCGATAGAATACATGTCTCTTTGAGAAGAATAATAATCAGGATTTATAAAGCGCTTAAATACAAAATACTGTCTCTAAGCGTTTTACAGATATTATCACCCCAGTCATTGGATTCAGTCTTGCACAATCTGCATCATCTCCACTCCCTGGAGAGTAATCCTACCATTTGGTTATCTTGAAGACATGGTAATTACTAACACAAAGTGTTTCGTCATCCTGCCAGGACCCCATTTCTCTCCTGGGTATGGAGTGGCAAATGTAGATGAAATGCCTTACCAAAGGACATTAGTACCTTGTCTGGGATCTAACCCAAGATCTTTGCATTCCAAGTCGAGTGTTTAAACGACTTGACTACGACACCTCTAGTTGTGTCCTACATCCGTTCCTTGATAACATGTAGATAATCCTTGACTTGTAAGTCTCTCGTTTCATCTGATTCCCTGAGATAACCTGAAAGGCATCCGTTCGTGATATCCTCAAAGAGGTACAGGTGATCAATTCTGTATCATTAACTGGCAGTCAGACAAATCTTTATCTTCCCTGATATTGATAATGTAGGTCATACCCAGCTATCACTAAATGTTTAGATTAAGGTTAGAGGTACATTGTAATGATGTCAAGAGATTGATAGCAAGAGGTATGGTGTCTTCTTCTGTGTTGTATTTTCTCTTTTCCTTAGAGCCATAAGGGCATTACTTGATTTAATCATATGTATAAGTATATGAGGTAATGCCCTTATGGTTCTCAGCAGTGTGTCAACTCTGTTTTTGTCTGAGAGGCGTACCGGTACCTAGGTTTTTATGCCTCCGTTACGAAGTAGCCGGAGGCATTATGTTTTCGGGTTGTCCGTCCGTCCGTCTGTACGTACGTCTGTACGTACGTACGTACGTCCCGTTCTCGTGATCGCGTTATCTGAAGAACCGATTGATGGATTCCTGCCAAACTTTGGTCATGTATGTATCTTGCAGAGCCGATGAACTGATTAGATTTTGGGGTTACGATGTCAAAGGTCAAAGGTCACAGGGCTCATTATGTATGCAAAAACAGCTCGTGATCGCGTTATCTGAAGAACCGATTGATGGATTCCTGCCAAACTTTGGTCATGTATGTATCTTGCAGAGTCAAAGAACTGATTAGATTTTGGGGTCATGAGGTTAAAGGTCAAAGGTCACAGGGCTCATTATGTATGCAAAAACAGCTCGTGATCGCGTTATCTCAAGAACCGAGTAATGGATTGCTGCCAAACTTAGGTCATGTATGTTACTTGCAGAACCGATGAAGTGATTAGATTTTGGGGTCACGAGGTCAAAGGTCAAAGGCTACAGCGCACATTATGTATGCAAAAACAGCTCGTGATTGCGTTATCTCAAGAACCGATTGATGGATTGCTGCTAAACTTAGGTCATGTATGTTACTTGCAGAGCAGATGAACTGATTAGATTTTGGGGTCATGAGGTCAAAGGTCAAAGGCCACAACGCACATTATGTATGCAAAAACAGCTCGTGATCGCGTTCTCAAGAACCGATTGATGGATTCCTGCCAAAATTAGGTCATGTATGTTACTTGCAGAGCCAATGAACTGAGTAGATTTTTGGTTCATAAGATCAAAGGTCAAAGGTCATGGGCTCATTATGTATGCAAAAATAGCTTGTGAACACATTCTCATTAGAACTGACAGATGGATTACTATTTAACTCAGGACATCTTGCAGAGCCAATGAACTGAGTAGATTTTAGGGTCATGAGGTCAAAGATCAAAGGGTCATATATGTATATGAGAAATTGCTTGTAATCACGATATTCTGAGAACCTGTTAATGGATTACAATTGAACTTGAATTCGAAAAATGTCTTCTGTTTTGGTTTGTAAAATTGCTCTATGACGGAGGCATCATTTTCGACTGCGCGCAGTCGAATTCCATCTAGTTGTCCATACCTCATGATTGGGAAGAAGGATAATTGACCAAAGATCCTTGTCTAGCAGACCCTGCCCACCTCACCATTGAACATTAATACCAAAGGAGGAAAGGGAAATTGAATCATGATGATGTTCAATAAACTTTCCCTCTCACCTGTCCTGGCTGGGCCATAACACCTCACCAGGGAAGCAGGGAAGATTCCTCCGAAGCGCAAGCCGCGTTGGCACCCCACGCCAATCAAGCGCCCACTTCCTCCTATTCAGGGTAGTCCTGAGTCAATGTTGTCCCCGCCCCGCACGCCCCGCACAGCCCCGCACAGCCCCGCACAGACTCAGGATGATTGTCTCACTTTCGTTGTTGTCGCCATTGACTCTGTGTCGTTGCTCTGAGGTTTGCGAGGGAAGGCTTCACCCTCTCTTCCTGCATCATCTCACTACGCAGGGCTTGTTAATCACCAAGAGATGACAGGACGTTGGATGCTGTAGCTCTGAAAGGGGACTTGTTAACAAGCATAAATTTGTGTAGTTTCCTTTAGGAATACTTCTCATACTTGCTATCTTGGATGTTTAATAGAGGATGAAGCTCTCAAAGTGAACATTTTGTGCTAGCGTCAGAAAGGAAACTTGCTCTTTTGATGCCTAGCCAGATTCAAAATTAAGTTCTTCTTTTCTCTAAGCTGGATTCGAGAACATTTTGTGATTATTCTATCTGGATTAAAGACATTCCTTGGTTGTTTTAAGTGTACCGGTATTTGAAAACATCCTTTGACTCTTCTACCTGGATTAAATCAGTAAAGAACATTGCCTGGATATTTCGTTTGATATGAGTACACATCTTACCCAAGAACAGATTCTAATGGTTGTAATTGGATGGAAGAGCATCTCGTTCTAGATGCATTTTAAAAGATCTTGAGCTTGTACACACTGAAAGGACAGCTTTCCACTTTTAAGGAGGATGCAACAACTATTGTGATCATACATTGTCTGTAGTCTTCTGTGGATGCTGTTGTTCCAAAAAGATAAGATGGAGGATATAATGTTATACTTTCCACCTCCTGCACCAATGCTGTTCAGGTTGGAATCTGTAGATCTAGTTGGATGGTTAGTACCAACAATAAATAAACAAACAAACACACAAACAAACACACAAACAAACAAACAAACTATTGTATCATGTACCAGTGTTGGTTAGATGACTGAGCAATTATCATTTGTTGTATGATCGGGTTTTATAGACAAGAATTATTCATGTTCTAATAATGTGAATTAGGATGGCACTCATTTTCCTCCTTTTTTAAAAAATCTTTCAATACCTTCTGCAACTCCACACATACAGTGCTCTACTCCACTTGGGAGTATAATATATGCCAGCTAAATGCTATTTATAAAAATATAGGCGCAAACATGCTAGTCAGACATTCACATCCTAACAATGCCCCACGTGCACACCTGGGTGGAGAGAAGCAATGTTGGTAAAATACCTTGCTTTAGGATATTGGTGCCATGTCAGGGATCAACTCCCATTTCCAGAGAAGTGCTTAATAAACCTCTTCATTATTTTATGACACCTCTGCAGAAAGCTTAAAATTCTTCTTTCACCTTAATGATGAATTTGTCTTATTTTTTCTGTTGATGTTTTCAGGTCAAGGGAATTCAACGACTTCTTAGAAAAATGCCTTGAGAAGAACCCGGAGAAGAGACCTTCTGCAGTCGACCTACTCAAGGTATGTTACTTAACTCTTTGCTTGCCAGGTACAATACCTACAACAGCCTTTCACAATACTGTCATAAGTACAAGTTCGCTGACAACCCGTTGAAATGCATGTATTGAATTTACCCTGCGTTTCTATAGGATGTTGGTGAACTTGTACGTATGTCAGTTTTGTGAAACGATGCATTAATTTCTATATTGCTAGATGTATACTGTTTCAGAGACACTGTACACTGTATGTGTGACAAAAGTCAACTAAAGCATCCCCTGGTATGTTCTTGATATCAAACAAATTGATTAACATGTTTGATAATGACCTTCTTGTACTAAAAAAAGTGATTTGCATTCATAATACAAAGTAATAATGTGCTTCTCATGTTGAGAAATTAATGGCCTTTGGAGGGTTACCAGTAATTTGGCATTTTAAAATGTAGTTTCATCTTCAATGAAACATTACCAAGAAACTCCATTAAATTTAATGTTTCCTTGAGAGTAGTTTTTATGTGTTGGTCTATGTATTTGTGTCATTACAATTTTTGATAAATGCTGTTCTTTCCTCGTAAGCAGCCACAAGTCAAAGACATTACAGACACAACTCTCATCAAAGTTTCGATTTCAGAAGCAAGCAAGCAATTAAGCCTCCTACTTGAAGATCATCTGTCTACAATGTCAATTCAATTTTTCTCTTGGAGCACTCTTTCTGTGTTGCTCTATGTTAGTGCTGTAGTCAAACGTTTAACCGTCCGGTATCCAACCGCCCATGGCGGATTCCGTTTTCAATTGGACGGTTTCGTTTTCCCGTTTTTTTTTTTTTTTTTTTTTTTTTTAAATATTTTTTTTTTTTTTTAATATATATATTTTTTTTTAAATATTTTTTTTTTTTTTTAAATATTTTTTTTTTAAGTTTCGATTTATGCCCCTCCACCTGGCACTATGCCTGGCAATGTCTCCCAGCTCAGTAATCGGTGTGATGACTTACCACTTGGAAACTAGAACAACACTCCAATTTGTCTGTCATCTTGGTTTGAAAGTAATCTTTGTAATAGATCTCAATATATATTCATCCAAGTTTAACACATGGTGTACCACAAGGTTCTATCCTAGGTCCTCTTCTGTTTTTAATTTACTTTAATGATCTTACACATTATTCTAAAACAACATTGTTACTATTATTTGTGACTAGTTCACAAGCACAAATGGGCGCCTTCAGTTAAATCACCTTCCTGCTTTTTCACACGGCCAAAAAAAAAAAAAAAAAAAAAAAAAAAAACTTTTTTTTTTAAATTTATTTTTTATTTTTTAATTTATTTATTTATTTTTATAAATAAATCGTTTAACCGAAAACCGTCCGGTTTTGACAGGGGGTTAAACGGAATTGGAGATATCCGTGATGTTACAGCACTACTCTATGTATTATTGCCATTAGAACTTAGACTGATAAATATTGTTCTCTTCTCCTCACAGCATCCCTGGGTGTGTGATGTTACAGACACAAAGCCTATCAAGAACTTGCTTGCGGAAGCCAAAGCCGACGTCATTGAAGAACTTCACGACTTGCCTGAAGATAACGTGAGTCTTCGATTTCCTAGAATTCAAATAGAACCGACAGGTTCCTCTCTTTTTTAAAAAATAAATGTAATGCTTCCTGGGAGAAATTCAATAGTTTGAACATATTTGTGGCTTACAAAGCAGGTTCAAATCCCGCCGGTTCCAGGATTTTTTCTGACTTGTTTTTCAATTACAGTTCGATCAATCAATCTTATTTACTGGGTGTAAGCCACACATATGTTCAAACTAGGTTCCTCTCTGTCGTGCAGTAGGGATATTGTTCATTGTAGAAATGCTTTCCTCTTTGTCAATATCAAAGACATCCTAGTAGATCGATTGTCATATGTTGAGAAAAAAAATCATGTGTAGAAATTGGAGAGATAATGATTTGTCCTGAAAAATAACCTGATAGTGGTTTAGCATTGTATGATCAGTGATTTATTTTTGTTTTTATGTTTCTGTGAAGAGATACAAATTCGTTAAAAGGTGGGAGATATAGTGTAGTATTTCAACACTTGTTGGACTAAGGTTTGTTAAAACTAGGCCTGATAATTTCCTGATTTAAACCGGTTTCCCGGTTTTTAATTTTTGTCCTGATTTTTTGTTATTGATTTTTTTTCCTCAAGAAATGGGCAGTCCGTGAGATCAATGTAAAATTGTAAATCCGTTTTAAAATTAGAGGGGTGAGGTGCCGTTTTTGCACTCGGCACCTCGCTTTCCTCAGATTTCTAAAACTCTTTTTTTTAAACTCTCACTAAAATCCTTTTTTTTTAAACTCTCACTATTACCCCTGGTTGCTACATTGAACCCTACCTGTACATTTCAGTTATGATCAACCCAAGCAATGAAATTCATTAATTTTGTATCTGTCTTGCTCATCCTTTTCTGGCATTATTCTAAGAATGTTTTCCCCTTTGTTGGATTGTAGCTTTCCTTCAAGGATACCATTGATACGACCAGTCAAGGAAGCCAGGATACGTCCTACACAGCTCCTTCCACACCCTCCACGCCCCCTACAAGCATCACGACGGAAGCACACAAGGTATTAACTATCTCTTCCATTTAATACAAAATAACTGGATTCTTATTAGAAGAAGGTTGAATTCTGGGAAGAGGTGAAAATAATTTGTGAGCATTATCATTGTTATTATATGCAAGTGTGGAAGAACATCAGATGTAAAATGTTCCCTGAAAAGCATGGCTCTTCAAATGCCTTAATATTCTAAATATGGCATGTAACAGCATAAAAATTGGGACAGATTTTTATGCCACATGTTCGTGTAGTCCCATATACATATTTCTGTGTACAGTGCTTGTAGCTTTACCAAGATTCTGCCAAATTTCTTATCATTTTGATGATTCCAGAACCTTGCAGTACACACTAATACTTATATGCTAGATGATCAACCTTTTCTGATCGATTCCACAATGCTTCTTTCACAATGCAATCGCATGACCAGAACTCAACTTTATCTTGAAACTCGACTTCAGCCTAAACTTAAAACCTAGCACATAGGATGTACATGGTAGAATATGGGCTATAGTTATCATGCTGCTGTGACAAAGAATCACCCATGTACTGGGGCTGGGGTCAAAGGTTGCAATTAAACTGTTACATAATGTCTTGCAAAGAGGCATTATTGCTACAGCATGGATTTGAACCTACGACTTGTCAGTCTATAATCCAATGTCCTGTCTACTAGGTCACATTATCTTTTTGATTAAGAACACTAATCCATGTGTCCATTTTAGATAGATAGATAGATAGATAGATAATGGTTTTATTGAGAATAAAAGAACAACAATGCATCGCGGCCTACAAGGCCGAATTGGGCAATGTTTTACAAATGTAAAGTGCAGTATATAAGAACTTTCATATCAAATAACCTCAAATTAATGAACTAAACTTAAATGAGTAGATTGTTAAAACAATAAAAATAACTTTAAAATGCTTATTATTTGATCTCCCTAACTTATTTTATATATTTAAAGGAGATAAAGAGAAGTGAAGAAGAATATGATGTATCATTTTCAAATACAGCTTTATACAAAACCTCTGGCTTATGCATTCTAACCACTTATTGCATAAATACATGTAGGTGTCATAATGGATAAAAATGGCAGAAATTATATCAATTACAAATTTCATGGATTGCAGAGCGGCTATTGTGCCCTAATGACGAGTGCAGCCCCTAAAATGGAAAACTACTCACCTAGCAATAGATAGCGCATATGATAAGGATATTATTACCATGGCAACGTGGAACGGTATCAGCTTATCATTTAACACAATTTCCACATGTTCTGAACCAAACCAGGCCTCGGAGCAATGTATTTGACATCTGTTAGCAATTTACCAAGTTGTTGTTCTTTCCTATAGGATGTGTTCACCCAAATGTATTTGCAGAAAGAGGGTTATGATTCTACATCATCCATCCAGTTGTGCCAAGCTAGAAATCTTTAGCGTCAAATGTTTAGTTTTGTTTGATGTTTAAAATACATTGTAGTCGATTGGGTATTTCGAAATATTTGTTAATCCAACACAAGCTTCCAATAACGGTATCTGTAAAGCGCCTAGAGACAGTATTTCGTATTAAAAGCTATATAAATCCAGATTATTATTAGTTATCTGTAAAAAATTAAAGGACATGCAATGTGCAGAACGAACAGTGAATTAATACTGGCTAGTTTTTTTTATTAGTTTTTATTCCTACCCCATGACTGTGTTTATAGTTGAAAGCTAAATCTTAGGGCTGGGGGGGGGGGGGGGGGGGGAGATTCATAGTTCCGGCTTGTCTGTGTTGTGTTCTAATATTTATCATCTCCTCTTGAGAAAACAAATTGGCTGGAAGAGTAACTCTGAAACTTGCAAATCTTCTTCACTTTGTTCCCTTTTTTCCCCTCTTGTAGTTGGTCAAGGAGCTTCACGATGTGAATCAGAACGGGGACAAGGATGTAACCGCTAATGGAAGTAGCCTCCAGCAAGACACCAGCAACCACAGTGGTGGTACTCCTAATGGCAGGAGAAACAGCGAGAAACCTGAAATGGTACGTGATGACACTCCCCCTCCTATCCACAACGATGAAGACAACCAAAGAGTGTTTGATAATGATAAAGATAGAGAGATAGAAATACATGTAGAGACAGGGGAAGGGGATGTCAGGAAAGGGGAAGAGAAGGAAATGAACAATGACAAAAGGGAGGAAGAGAAGGAGATGAACGGAGAGGTTAAAGATGGGGAGAAGGAAGAGAGTAGAGAAGAGGGTTATGATTCAAATCATATCGGGGAAGGAGATAATCAGTTAAAGGAGAATGAAACCAAAGAGATTGAAAGGGAAGGGGATCGGGTTGGGAAGATAGAGGAAGGGGGACAAGTTGATGAAGGTGTGTTCGGGGAGACAGAAGAAAGCGAAGCTCCATTGCCTCTGAAAGAAACAATGATGAACGGCGACGTGACCGAGGTAAAAAAGCAGCGCCCGCCCTCTCTTGAGCTCAACAATGGAAAGATCCTCGTTCCATTGGTGACGTCGTCGGGCAAGGATTCGGTGGTCAGCCGAAAAAGCATGGACCGGTGCTCGGACGCGGGCAGCGTGATGACCATCGACAGCGTGGAGAGCGTGGACCCGACCCAGACCCCCACCGAGGGCAAGAAGAACCATGAGGTACCCACCATACCACCACCACCACCACACCCCACACCACTTCCATCTTGCTCACATTTTTCATCAACCTTCCCTTTGATAGTTGCATGGTTACATTGCTTTGCCCACTTGCCTGCCTGCCTGCCTGTCACACATTGCCTTGTTGTGTAGTCTTAGTTTTCAGACAGTTGTTCACTTTGTGTGTTTTACATTGCACTTGGAGTTTTTGGACCTGGGCCAGTCTTACAAAGATTTGCAACGATCCAAAACGATCGCAACTAAACATGAGGGGTATATCAATCGCAGTAAAATGAATAATAGATGAACCCCTTTGAAGACCAGCTTTTAGCTGAAAAGGGTGATCCTTCCCATATGTGGAAAATAAATTATAAAAAAATAGATTATGGTAAGTTTCTGATTGACTTGCAATCAATTAGGATCAGTTGCAACTCTTTATATGACTGTGCCCTGTAGTGCATTGCCATTGCATAGTCTTTGACCAGCGTTTTCTCCTAGGTATCTTTAGCTTGCACATCGAAACTTTAAATTTCTCTTTACAACCAACGATTGCCGTTTTTAGTCGAGATTTTTTGCTGTCTGTTATAATTTTTGTTTTGAGTTTGATGATTTAGTTGAGATTCTGCTGTTATAGACTTTGTTTATAACTTTATATTATTTCAATTAAAAGTGTAATGATTCGTCCCTTGTCCCATTTTTCGCTCTAAATATGGAGTGGATTAGATAGGGTCCCTTATTCACCAGACCAAATATGAAGAAAAAGCCATGGATATTTGTATTATTTTTTTAAAATCGAATAATGCTCTTAAAGGTATTACAAAGTTTTGGTGTGGGGTCATGAATTTGATTCAAATGAACAAAATTGGAAGCATATGCGAACCTTCAATATTCAGTGATCGTTGTCGCGGGTGAAATCGAGTTTAAAGTTATGAAATTGTAAATAATAAACTCTTTATGTTGTATAGCTCCCTCTCAAGGTCAAGATATTAATCAAGCTATAAAACAATGTTTCTTGACTAAAATCGACATTTAGATATATTCGTTTGAAAATTATATATCATAACTACATATTCTAAGATTTTCATGGTCCCAGCTACCATTGTACGGCCGTAGGCGCTATTTGAAATTGATCAACATTTACCGGGAGCACCGGTAAAATTTTATATTCAATTTTGAATTTTATAATACATTCACAGGGGCATCTAAATATAACAAAATTATAAAGAATCACTTTCCACCCATTTTTCAAAATTTCCCAAAACTTTGTATTACATGTACCTTTAATTCACAGAGATTCATGAAGATAATGCTGCTTGCATGTATTATTTTGCTGAAACTGAAAAACAGTTAATTATGCTCATAATCTTTCAGCCAATAGGTCAACCTAGACACAATTCTTGCTCAAATATTGATAATATCTTGTCTCGCGATGTTCGCATTAATTTCAAACTTCAAAGGGGAATTACCATTAGAAATAGTCCCTTTTTGATGATGCAGAAGCAATTTCTTAATTGTTGTAATAAGATATGCATTAAGAATACCAATGGGCAAAGAGTTATATTGTGCCTTGATCATCTAAGTATTTTATGAGCGTCAGTTAATGCCATGACTTTGCCATTTATCATTCCATGATTTGACAAACTTTTCATATTGGTAATGGGAGAATAGAAGTTGAAAAAGAGAAAAGAGTGACAAATTTTAATCCCAAGGAAAGGTAGAGAGAAACATATAAAGATGTAGAAAAATTATTATGGAAAGAAGGTAGACATATATAGAAATACTCTTTTCAATTCCATATATTCTTAATTCTAATTGCAATATTTTCAAGAGGTTAGACCTATGGCATTGACAATGTCCTGCAAAATAAATGTATGCATGCATACATACATGTAGCTCCATTGAGCCTTGTCTGTAATACACGAGCCTACCTAGATGACCTACGAGCCTACCTATGACCTACTTGTAATATCTTTGTTTTTCTGCTTCATCAAAACAAAGCTTATACAGGGTGTATCAACCAAAACCTCTGTAACATCATGCTGTTTATTCAAAACCATAAGCTTATTTTCCTGATGGAAAAATGTAGAAACACCATCAATTCATTCAAAATTTGTCATTTTAATATTGGAGGATCCCTGTAAGGATGGAAATTTGTCATATATTGGATGATTTTGTCAGATGAACATTCACTCACTGTCAAATTAAAATATTGTAAGGAAATAAATTCACTCCAATTTGAAATTTAGTGCACCTTGATTTTAGGAAGTCATCCATAACAAGAAGATAGCAATTCATTTATAATACCAAGAGATGATTAATACTACAGAATTGAAGAATAACTTTTTTATAAAGACATACCAGTACTGCAGCTTCTTTCATTTTTGTTGCTTTCATCAGATGCTTGCCTTTCACTTTTTAATGATGTACAGTTTAATAGACAAAAAGCTTCAGTGTGTCTGAATTCAAAGATATACTTCAATTAAATTAGATGATATAGCTTTTAAATACTCAAGATTGGCTTTACGTCATATACCGGTACATTATTTAACCCTTCCTCCATTCTTACCTCAATTGCAATTTCTCTCACCCACATGAGCCCATGGATGCTTTCATATTCTTACAGTCTTTTGTCGTCTGCTTTTCACAATCCACATGTAAGCATCAGACCCAAACAAATGCGTAAATTTGCGTCAACGGAAGACGCCGTCATGATTGTTGTGATATACAGAGGAAAGCAGATAGTCTGCCAAACATCCTTGCATTTTTATAAAGGTTCCTGCATGTATTTAGTCTTATCAGATAGGGATTATGTGATTTCTGTGTTTTGATAGTTATCCCCCAGTCTTGCATAAGATGCAATGATGTATCAAGGTCTAGGCAGTAGTCCAAAGGGACGTACAAGAGGAAATAATGAACAGCTAGAAGCACAATCAGCTTTTTTAGTCGGTGCCTTGAATTTTTCCTGCTCCTGCGTCGCGTTCATGAAATATATAATGATTCGTAATGCTTGAGGATAAATGAGTTAGATATACAATGAAAAGAAAATACACAGGAACAGAATAAACAGATAATTCTTCTGCTCTGGAAATTTCACAAAGACTTTTAAAAAACTCTTCAAAAAACATTAAAAAAACATTGCCCTAATGAATTATCTCGTTTATGTTATTAGCAGTAAATAAAAACAAAGAAGCAATATCAGATCATCAGTGACAGTATGTGTTCACTTTCCTGATTTTAACCCCAAGGATTTTGAAAATACATGAAATATACATGGGTCATCTATCATATTACAAATTTATTACAAGTTTACATAGACATGTATCATATATTTTTATCAGTGCTAAAATTTCTCCACTTGTTTTGATTTAGGGTTCGATGGGGAAAACACTAATTTGTTTCCACTCTAATAATACCCAATGTCATCAAACAATATTTGATGTCCATGGCAGCTGTTAGAAACTCTACTGGAGGGAGGTTGCGTGATCAAACAACAGATAGGAAGTCCTCCCGGGGGAGAAATTGAGTTGTCCTTGTTGCAAATATCAGAACTGTTTCCCTTAAAGGGATTGGGTATCTTTGCCTCAGATTCTGAAACAAAATCCTGGATTTAGCTCATGCTGCAATCATAATTATAAACCTTTAGGTCAGTCAGGAATCCAATGACGTTTACAAGCCCATGACGTTTACAGGCCGATCAACTGTCTGATTATCAAGATATTTATGATTTGATTTCAAAATTTCAGAAACCGTTTTCTTAACAGTTTTTATAACACTACAGTCTATTGGGGGAAATGAGTATGGTAAAACCGGTCACTCAAAGATTTTTACTTTTTTGAGGCACTTCATGATCATTTTGAAGCGAAATTTTATAGGGCTTTGATATTACACCATATCACAGACACTGATATTAAACACGTAGGGCCATGCATCTCATCTCAGATTTAACATTGTTAAACGATGCCTTTAACCCATACAAATTCAGTTTGGCTGTTTTGTGATATTTTTTAGTTATCTCTTGATCCAGAATGCAATGAATTAGGCATAATGCATGAGCAGATCAAAGATTCAAATTCACAAATAATTTAAAAGTCCATGTCTTGCAGTACAGTGTGCCTTTCATGAGTAAAAAATATTTGATTTAATTAATTGAAAATAAGCATTACTTGAAAGTAAGCTCTACATTTGCATTTTTGAAAGGAATTTATACTCTTTTAATTCTCTTAAGATTTTTTGTTGTTGAATATTTGTTATTTTTCTTACTTTTTTTCTTTTTCAATTTTCATTGACACAAGTTCATTTGACATCACACTGACTTGTCTTGAAGAATATAACAGTGAAATATACAAATAATTGGTGCCAATTTAAAGAGGTAAAGCTGATTCATTTCAATATACACGTACAAATGCCTGACGTGCTATGCCTATGGGTTAAATTCATCCGATTCCAGCCCCCAATGTGTACTTCCTGACATCACTGCCAAGGCTAAAATTCAACAGGAAACAATCACCATCTAGAATTAAATGAATTACCAATTGTTGATATCACTTCCTATGAATTTGCCAGAGATTAGAAGGGATAAACATGGTAAACACCCAGTACTTTGATGCTTTTGTGTTTAAGCCCCAACTATGCCAAGGGCTGCAAAAAGTCAACTTTATTGTTCACATAAATTCTATCGCAAGTATATAGTTTGGTCTACAAAGAGTTATAATTTTGTTTACTATTCAACAATAGTAAATTTAACAAAACAAGAAATTGATATCTTAAATGTTCCCAGTAGCTGAGTGCAGGTAGTGTCTTCCCCATTTCCCATAACTGTTTAATGATACAAAGAAAATGATACAGTTTTAGTTGGTATACATGCACCTGACTGTCCTGACATTAAGTAGATTTGATGATGTGATTTTTTAGTGTTTTTGTGATTTGTAACATCCAAATGACATGATTGATTATAGGTACGGTATGTCAAGCATTGTTCAATTTTACACCACCTGTTGAATAATGTAATGTAAAGATTTACTTTTGTTAGTTCTCTCTTTAATTTGTTGGTAAGTATGTAGTTTTGTTGCTAATTTGTTGGATTTATACGCATTGTTGATATGACTGTGTAAATGCCCCCCCCCCTCATGTTAAAGGATAACCAAGGTTAAATTTGGAAGTTGTTTTGTATACCCTGGTGTTGTATTTGATACAATTATTTGTCCCTTAATTATTTCATCAGGTGTTTGTTGACAGGATATTATTTACGAAATGCTTAAACCAGTGATAAAATTGTGCTCTTGTTACATATGCAAAGAGTCCGACTCATAATGTTGTTGCTATGCTAGACAACACTTTGACGAACCTTAGAATCAGTTGTTAGAAGAAGTTACCACTGCATTATTAGAAAGGATATAATAATGCAAAATGTATAATTTGTTGTGATCACATTTTTTTGTCTTGATCAGTAACTATGTGAAATAAAATTTGTTATACAATGATAAATTTCACCTCAAATACATCTGTAGATTTAAAAAAAAAATCTGTTAGTTACTGGGTTCAAAATAATCATTCATTCATTCATAAATGTAAGGGTTTTGTATACCGGTAATGTGTATGAGATTACATGCAGTGAGGGAATGGTATTTTGTTTTGAGTTCAATTCAAGTGTTTTTTGGTACCCCTTTGACATGCTTGTATGAATCATGTTTTATTTTCATAATTTTTGAGTTTGTTGAACATTTGTTGTTTCATGTCAATGTTTACATCATGTTGTTAAACATGTGTGTTCAATTTCCCCAGTGAACTCATGCTGTTCCTCTTTAATTTTATAGTTTGTTTATTTTGAACTTGTTCTCCTTCAAATTTGAATGATGTAAATCTTGATTTATAAGCTGTTAAGTTTTTAATTTAAAAGTGCTTTATGGAATGAATTTTATTTTTTATTCACAAGGGGCCTTTTGCATATATATTTTGATGAAACAAATATATGAAACATATGAAACATATATATATATATACTTGATTCTTAATGGTTGAAATAAAGTATCGTTTGATATTTGGAGTTAGATTTCATTGCAAATTCGTTTATACAAAAGGCCCCTACAGCATCTTGCACTCAATTTGTTTTTAATTTGAAGAATTATTTTGTAATTTTAAAATGAGTTATTTGAAAAATCATTTAAATGCTCCTATATCATACAATTTAGATCATTCTGAATGTCACAGCTTTAATTGCGCTACACAATACCTGCACATTCTTGCCGATTTAAAAGAATTGCATGCAAAAAAAAAAAATTACAAAATAAATGAAATAGAAAGTACTAATATAATAGTTTTATTTGTTAAAGGAAGTTACAGGGGTAAGTTTTATAGCATCATCACATTTTTAGTTTAGGAGATTTGCATGAACATTTAGACAGAGGAAAGAATGCAATCTCTCTGCAAAAGAATTCTAAATGAATCATCCTGTCTTCTAGTTTCATTCATTGAAAAAAAGGTATATCATTTGAATAAGTCCATGCCCATTTCTGCAGCATAAGAAATTTACAAAAATTTATATTCAACTGTGACATACCACATACATTTTTGCTTTATGTTTTCAACCAATTACATATATGTTTTGGAATTAATGTTCATATATCTTATATGAATATGCAAACGTTCATTGTGATTTATCCTTAAATAATTCACCTTTCAAAATGAAAATAATATGATATTTATGTCAAGTTGAATACGTGTATCTTTGTAGGATTAGATTTTATTTGAAGTCATCCGAATTCTTATTTTGACATGGAATTTATATGACCTCTGAACTTTGACCCTCACAGGCTCAGATCCATTACAAGACCTTGAAGAAAACCAGGAAGTTTGTCCTGGATGGAAAGGTCGTGACCCTGACGACCTCTAAGGTCGTGAAGGAAGGTCAAGAGGACAAGGCTAAGAAACTCCATGCCTTCAGGTAGGATCTTGTTACTTTCGGTATAAACTTTTAAAAAAAAAAGGATCTGTAATTCAAGTTCAAGGGTTGACAACCCTTGTTAAAGTTTAGACCCTACCTATCATCACTGAATTTTCTATTGTTAAAGAGCCTGTCTATTCCACTTACATTATTGTCATTTGATCAATTTTATTTGAATTTCAATGTCGATTGCCTACACTTTTTTAATAGTTATTGTATAATTGCTTTTATCATGTATATACATTGTAAACTGTTGTAACCATTGCAATTCAGTCTTTAGACTGCACGAAAGGATAATTATCAAAAAAATCCTTCAATCAATCAATATCATTGAATGTGCAGTATGACTGCTCATGGGAATATAGGGCCAATTAGAAGTGAAATTTTGCAAGATGAATTTTTTTCGTTTGTTTGGAGGATGAAACATTAATGAAGTGCAATGTTGTTTTCACCTTTGGTGTGGAATATGAAATGTGTTTCAATCGACCGATGGTGAGATTATTATGATTCCAATTTTCAACCCATGCAGAAAGAACGACCTTTGAGAGATCCGTCTTATGAGGAAAGGGCTTGTAATAAGCTTAAGTTTCTGTAAGGGATACATGAATACTAATAGTGCATGAAACATCAATAAAGTCCAATGTTGTTTTCATCTTTTGTTTGGAATATAAAATGTGTTTCAATCGACCGATGGTGAGATTATTATGATTCCAATTTTCGACCCATACAGAAAGAACGAGCTTCGAGAGATCCGTCTCATGAGGAAAGGAGAGCTGAAAGAAGTTAATAATCTAGCTTCCAAGATCCTACAACAGAAGGATCAACTGATCAAGAGACAGGATGCTGAGAAAGCAGTAAGATTATTCACTTTTCTTTGGACGAGTGGATATGTCGCCGTACTGTGGATCACAAGGTCTGCGGCTCAAGTCCCGCCACAGCTGTAATGTCCTTTGGCAAGACATTGATCTAGATTTGCCACTCTCCACCCAGGTGTTAAATGGGTACCCGATAGGATGTGAATGTTAGTGTGGTAATGAGCAAGTGTGCGCTTGTCAAAATGACAAAATGAGAAAACGAACAAACTATTATTATTACCATCAATAGAGAATTTAGAATACAATGAAGCCACTTTCTTCTAAAATGCATTGATTGGAACTCAATATGTGATCGAATGCTAGTCTACACTCCTATCATTTCTGAATTCATCATTGTCAGAATGCAATGATTGATCTTAAAGGCATACCATCTTGACGGCTATACCATTCTTACATTTGTATCAAGATAGCAATGTGTTTCTCTCCTTCATTTTTCAGATGGCGGTAAAGAAGTTTGATTTGGAGATCGAGCATCTAACCGGGCAACAGAAGCAGAATGTAGAGAAGCTAGAGCTAGCCCAGGAAGCAGAACTGAGGACGTTCAAGAAGAAAATCAAATCAGATCAGGTAAGTCTTGAAGCTGTGTGTTCTTCTTCTTCTCTGACATGCACAAGTTCTCTTATCCCTGCAGGGTACGTGTAGGATTATGTCTTCCATATGAATCATATCCCCCCATCTCTCTATCTTGTTTTTATCTTTTCTGTTTGTATTATATCTCTTCATTTTAAAAATATTTTATCTCATTTTATCTGTCTGCATGTCCATTTATGTCTCTTTTCTACTTTTTTGTTATCAAAATTATGTTCCTTTCTCATTCTTTCTCTCTCTTCTTCTCTCCCTCTCTCTCTCTCCTCTCCCTGCTCTCTTTAATTTGACCTCTCTTCCCTTTTTCTGTTTCACTTGCCCGATCACTCCCTGTTCTCTCTTTGTTCTCTCTTTGTTCTCTCTTTGTTCTTTCTCTCTCTATTTAAAAAAAAATAATATTCTCACTTCTGACACTCTCTTTGTCTCTGGTGAAATGTTGAAAATTATCTAAGAGAACAAGAAGGCCTGTAGGAGAAATCGAACACTGTACTTAAAGCCCCCTGCACTACTTATAGCAGGGGGGTTAGACCTTACTGCATGGTGCACTGACAGGTGGTTATCTCATCAAACCAGCTCTCAATAAACATAAGAAAAAGGGGACCTTGGGGGACCAATGGTCACCGATTAGGCATTGTTTGCTATATAGAGGGCGCAAGTAGCTTTAAGTAGTGCAGTTTAGCTTTGAAATAAAAATATGTGATAAATGCAAAATATTTTCTGTGACCGCCCTCTCCAGGACAAAGATATGAAAGTGTTCCGAGACGGGAAGAAGAAGGCGGCCAAGGAGCTCAAGAATGCCAAGGGAGACCGGGACGCGCTGAGGAAACGAAGAGAGGAGTTTGAGGTCAAGCAGAGTGAGGAAGAGAGGGAGTTCCTCTCCCGGCAGAAGAGGACGCTCGAGGCGGACATGGCCAAGATTAATCAAGGTCATAGGCAGCAGGTCGCGACCCTCGAACACAAGTATCTGATGGAGAAGCACAATAAGAAGAGAGGTATACTATGAACATCATCTTTCTACTGCCATTAATATGTGGTACAATAATGATATATGTATTGTATGACTCCACACTTATAAGGTCAGAAGGGACCTGGGCCTGTATTCAATTCAATACTTAAGAACAACATTTAAGCTTTATACTTAGTATTTGGCTTTGAAAATACTTAGCCAATTTAGGTATTCAATTCAAACTTTTGGCAAGTATTTCCCCCTAAATCTAAGACAGCTCCCTACCAGACTTAAGCCAATTATTTGGAAGCCTTGATTGGCAGGCATATGGTTTTCTTACGCAGTATCATGACCTGAGCACAATTATATTAGCGCGCATTTATTGCGACGCGTTGATTGCGCATTACTTTTGATTGACCGTGTGATGTCACAATGCTTATCAGAAAGTATTTTACTTGTACTTTGTCTCGGGTAAGTAAAGTCTAAAATGCGATTTGAATTCAAGATAAGTAAATTTCTTAGCTTAGCCATTTACCTAGTAAATTTCTTACTTAGTCTCCAAAAGTCACAATAACCCCTTTGCTGAAATAGTGGTCTTTATAGACAGGTTTCACTGCATATTGTTATAGGTTGTATGTTCTTTTTGATAACATGCATAACCCTACAGAAGAAAAGTCCTTGGGCTAAGGTAGGCCCCCACATGCTTAAATTTAAAAAAAAAATGAATAAATGAATGAATGAAGATTCTCTTTCCATTTAAAAAGTTGCAGTTAACCCTGAGCTCTCTGTCTCTCTCTCTCTCTCTCTCTCTCTCTTTTAACTATAGCGAGGGAATCGGCAGTTTGGGAGATGGAGGAGAAGCACCTCAAAGAGATGCATCAAATCAAGAAGAATCAACTCAAGGATATGTTCTTCCTGCAGAGACATCATCTGGTCCTCGGACAAGAGAAGGCAAGTTCCGCCCTTCTTCTGTTTTTATTCTTATAATTCTGTCGTTATTCTTGTAATTCTGTCCATATCTGTCCAATCGCATGACTAGTTCTGGTCATGCGATTGCATTGTGAAAGAAACGTTGTGGAATCGATCAGAAAAGGTTGATCATCTAGCATATTAGTATTGGTGTGTACCGCAAGGTTCTGGAATGATCAAAATGATAAGAAATTTAGCCCAGTCTTGATAAAGTTACAAGCACTGTACACAGAATGATGTACATGGGATAACGCGACATGTGCGTTATATCTGTCAGGTCCAAATAGATATAATGATTTACCAAATATATCAATTAGTAGGCAGTTTCTCGGCAAAATTTGTATGATCACGTATTAGTTAAAACATATTCTTTCACATGAGTGGTAATAAGAGCTTCCATCTCATTTCTTGTGAGGGGGGTATTTCCAAAACTGGTCTTTACCTTTAATTTTGTTGTTTTTCTTATAATTCCACTGTGATTGCTTTGTTTTGGAAATTTCTATAATTTGAGGATAAGTAGATTGTGATTTTCCTACACCCATGTAAAACCAACTTCCAAACCTATCTCGGTGGCCCCCAAAGACTGGTGTCGGACACCCTTTTATTTTGGTGTAACCACTCTAAACCTGCTCGAGATCGCTTTCTATCGACTCCATCTTGGACCACCTCCCTATTCTTCGGGCACTAGTTATGGTATTTTCATTCATTAAAGTTTGTTTATTTGATATCAAACATGAAGTTAGATTGCATCTTTTGTGTATGGAAAACTGAGAAGATTGTTGATTTGGGTTGATCCAGTTGGCATTGTCGTAATATGGCAACATAACTAAATGTTTTTGTGTGTACTTAATGGTACAACAGGAGGTGCAGCAGCTCAAGAACTATTTTGATCGCGAAGAGGAGGAGCTGAACCAGAAGCACGTGTTAGATCAGAGGCAGTTACCACGGCGACTACGCAATGAGAAGCAAGCCAGGCTTTCCATGTTTAAGAAGAGTCTGCAGATCCATAAACCAGGCTATACAGCGGAGCAGGAAAGAGAGAAAATCAAAGAGGTACGTCTAGTTATCTGGGATTTTGCGATGGAGTCTCAGAAACATGAGTTGTTCCTTGCTGCGTAACTCAGGCCTGATAATTACCCGATTTAAATCGGTTTCCTGATTTAAAAAAAAAAAAATCCTGATATTTTTATTAATTTTTCATGATTTTTTTTCTCTATATTTTCCTAATGTTCTTACTCAAAAGGGGGAAATGGTGTTTGATGCCATTTTTTTCTTCCCAAATCCTTTTTTTTTTTTTATAGTTCTCACTATCACCCCTGATAACTACAGAGGGCACAACTCAAGAGAACGCACTTGGATAACACTCTTCTTGTGTGGTTTTATAAGTCGATCATCCAGTCAATTCTCTTTTTAATTTAATTTGTATTTATGGCAAAACATCTGACAGTGAGAAAGCGCTCGACAGAGCAAGGAAAATTGCTCAAAGAATGATTGGTATTGCACTGCCCAATGTGGACAAGTTGTATGGTCATGGTTCACTAGCTAAGGACAGTGTATTAGAGAAGAGAAAGGAAGATGGCCATGTTTTTTCTATTTCTTGAAATTTGTTTATGTGTGTTTGGATGCATTTCATCCATTTTAGTCACCTTATGATAAAAGTGCCCCCTTAACTTTAAATGTTGATGTATGACCATGCTCAAGCAGAACAAGCAAAGTTCCAGGTCAACGCAAGTCATTTTGTATATCATTGTGGAGTGGGGCGTTCTTTATAGAAAAGCAAGCCGTAAATCTTCACCATGGCAACACGTAATGCAAGGCAAAATTAGTGTCATACCATACAAGCCACTTCTGCTGCATTATGTAATATAACATTTGTATAAATGCATATTCTCCTGTCAGTTACATGATGGACTTATTTAACAAAATTTCCTGGAAAAACGAATGTCTTCCTGAGTTTATCTTGTTCTCAAATGATCACCACATTTTCTCTGCAGTTCCAAGACAACGAGACTGCTCGCTTCAAAGCTGAGATTGCCCACCAGAAGGCTAAACAAGAGAAAAAACTACATAATGAAAGACAGAACAGCGAAGCCATCATGCAAGAACTTCTCAGTGATCATGTAAGTAGACCGAAGCTAAGTAAGAATGAGGGAGGTGATGATGATTTGATAGTTTGAAGGTTTATTTTACCCAATTGCTATAAACAAAGCATGTGTATGCTTGTAAGTAAGCACCCAAGGGGACCGACGGTTCAAAGTCCTCTCTGAGGGACTTGGTTAATGAGGATTAATGCCTTACCAAAGGGCGCTAGCGAAGCTGGGAAAGGAAATGACTTAATGTGGGAAATAAAAGTAATGTATGAAATACAAAAGGAGTGTATTTGGTGAAGGAATCATACTAGCTGAAGAGGAAGGCTGACGACTGAGACTATTGCGTTTTAACCCATCGACTTTCATTTGTTGTTTCATCTTTCTAGAACGAGAAGCGTAAGGTGCTAATGGAACAAGAGACGGTCAAGGTCAAAAGTATCGAGGAAACTCATGCAGAAGAGGTCAAGAAATGGAGAGAGCAACTCAGACCGCGCAAGAGGGTAAGTACACAAAATAGCTGTCCTCCTAGAGAGTTGCTTTAAAGCCCCACTGCACTACTTATAGCTACTTGCGCACTTTATATAGCAAACAATGCCTAAGCGGTGACCATTGGTCCCCCATGATCCCCTTTTTCTTATGTTAATTGAGAACTGATTTGATGAGTTAACCACATGTATGTGACCATGCAGTAAGGCTGCGACGGGTAGTCGAATGCTCGAGTACCCGCACGGTTGACAACTACTCGGGTACGATTTCTTGTACCCGAATATTCGGCCGCAAAAAAAAAAAAATGTCCAGGCCCACGCTTACCCGTGCCAGGGAGAGCAGCATCCGCTGGCATGGTACCGTCGGTAAAAATGTTTCCAAACTCAAGCACTGTCAAACTCACCATTCAGAAACTGGGACCAAATGTCCAGATTTCTGTTTGGACTTGGAGGAAAATGGATTATTCTGCCATCTTTGGTTTTTAAAACAGCATTGTTTACTGTTATTATTCTTATTAAATCGGCGCCTTCAACTGCAACTCAAAGTAAAGTTGCATGCGTTTTCAGAGAGCTGCGCGAGGGACCTGAGAAACTGCCGAGTGGTATGGTAGTGGCAAAAAATGAAAAAAAAGGGGAAAAATCCAAAAATCCAAAAAATAAAAAAAAATCAAAAAAAATCAAAAAAATTCAAAAAAATTCAAAAAAATAAAAAAAAATTATAAAAAAACATGGCGTCCGAATACTCGAGTATTCGCCTGTGAGCCTGGGAGTGTACTCGGGTACCTCATTACACTGTTGTGCACAGCCCTACCATGCAGGGAGGTCTAATCCCTCCTGGCCAAACTAGTGCAGACAGGTTTTAATGTATTGTGTGTCCAGTACCAATATAATCCTGAAAATATCTGTCTAATAGTAAGAGGTATGTGATAAGTCATGTGGTAATGTCTGCAATAACACTATAAAACACTCTGCATAGAGGTGAAAAGGTAAACTTGTAGTTTTGGGGTGATATCTGGGCTAGCACAAATAACTGTTTATTATGTGGGATTTAAACATTTTATGACAGTTAATAACCCACTCAGTAACATAGAAGGAAACATAGTTTTCAGAGTACTGCCCCTATTGTCATTTGAAATATATAAGAAGCTGATTCAGTCAAACTGATGCATGCGACCAGCCTTGATTTTTTTTTTTTTTTTTTATTAGAATGATAAAAGAAATAATAATGTAGTTGTACATATGTATAAGGTATCAAGCTAAATTTTCTGCAACAGTCTTCAGTAGACAGTTAACCTAATGAATTACATCTCTTTTTCTCTCTCTTTTTCTCTCTCTCTTTTCTTCTTTCACATTTCCCTCTCCTCCTTCTTTCTATTCTGGCTCCATGTCTTTTTCCATTTTCTTTCTCCATCTCTCTCCCCTGCCCCTCTCTTCATCTTCCTTTCTTTTCATCTCTCTCTATCTCTCCTTTCTTCTCATCTCATTTATTCTCATCTTCATCTCTCTCTCTCTCTTTCTGTCTCTTTCTCTCCCTCTCCATCTGTCTCTCTCACTCCCCCTTTTCCTCTCTGACTGTCTTTGTCTCTTCCTCCCCCTCCCCCTTCTCTCTCTCTCTCTCTCTCTCTCTATCCCTCTCTATCTCTTCTCTACTTTCCCCCTCTCCAGGAATTGGAGGAGACATTCCAAAGAGAGCTCGAAAAGCAGGGAGAGTTCTACTCCGACAACAACACAGAAACCCCATCATCAGATTCCATGAAATACAAGAGGAACAGTCTAAGTGTACTCTGAATCACCCCCAGCTTCATCGATTCCCTTCCTCGTGTTATTCAACAACCATAGTTAGTTGATGTAGACATGGTTGCGACAGTGGAAGTCACTTCCGATTTGTCAGCCATTTCATCGGCTCCAGATAGTTCCTTCTCCTAGACATTCCATGTGCAAGGGAGGTATTTGGAGCTCCGTGATCTAACCTATGACAGCACTCGTGCACTCGTATATACGCGTGTCACAACTATCTCTCTCAGTATGCTTCGCTAACAACGTCTCCACACCCTCAATGGTTGGAAGTGATGTAATACTTTTGTTGTCAGAAGTTGTATCCTATAATCATTCACCATAGACCAGACCACTGTATTTGAATTTGTGGATGTCTCTACCCGGAAACCCTATTAACTTCTACTTTACTCATCAGCAAGCTACAACAGTATCCCGTGGATGGATCCACATTGCGTACATTGTTGCCATGTTGAGCTAGCCTTGGGCAAGGATAGTGGTTATGAAGAGCAAATTGTTTTTAGAAAAAAATTGAAATATATATATAACATTTGAATGGGTTGGTAAACTGAGTCATTCTTTCCACATTCTCTAAAATGTGCCCCATTTTGTTTGGAGCAGATGTGTATTATGCGGTTCTTATGCGGCAGCTTCAATTGATTATTTGGCTTAAAAGGCTGGGTTATACTTGACAAAATTTAATTTCAAACATCTTGTGATGTTCCCTAACTTTTAATACGTGTTTTCCCTGAGTCTTTATCATCTTTTCATTCATCGTGAGTGCAGACATATTTAGAATATCCACGAAACAATCTAGTATTCAAATAGTTACCTGGCAGGAACTTTTGATGACTTATAGGGAACATTTTTATATTTCATTATTAATCCTATAGATGCAAGGTTGTGAATATTGATGCTAAGCGTAGGCTGTTGGAATATTCAAAATTGATGTCTTGCTTATCCAAAATGTGAAACATAGTTTATTTGTTCTTGACAGATAAGTGTTTGAATATTGGAATTTTCTATCCCTTTTTTGCCAAGTTTAACTGTAAGGCATGTACTCTATCTGTTCCTGGCATCCCTTATGTTCTCAATGTGTTTTTGTTGTTGACATGTCATCATCAATGTCACTCAGAAAGATGGTTATTTTTTTTTAGTTTTTTAGAAAAACATTGTTATGTTGGCAGGATTTTTCCGTCATTGTAATTGCATGTAGGATCAAATCATGCACAGTGAAAGGTATATAATATTCAAGAAAATTAATGTTGTTTGAGCATATGTGTTCTGGCAGTGTCCCCACAGAACTGTCAACTTTCCCCTGACGGCATCCATATACAAAGCCCAGGATAACTTGGACTGGAGAGCGTGGTAAATATGTTTTCTACCAAAATCGAATCGTATCCATCCGGTTAATATTGTTCATTTCGCCTTGCTGTATTCATTGATTAGGCCATAGACAGTTCATAGGAGTAAACCAAATGTGCGACTTCTTCGCCGAGAAGACATATCGAGGCCTTGTCCTTCTACACATATGTGCCACTTAATAATATCGAGCAACAATTTGCCATCCGTAATGACAAAGGGTACTCGTGTGTGTTGCATCTACTTATTGCCAAACTTTTGTAAAAAAACCTTCCTTTCTAATACCAAAAGCAAACCTCCAAAAATGTGTCTTTGACCAATTTTTGCGAAGATTAACATAAGAGACATCAATGAGTATGCAGAGAGGGGGAAACAAAGAAGTGGAAGATTTATTTCGGATGTTGCTTATGAGGTTTTTGTATTAAAGCACTTTCTATGTATGTTTTTTCGTATTTGGCAACATAATGGCGAGGTTTGTTCTGTGTTATTGTCTTCCTGGTTTGAATAAAAGTGCAAGAAGTAGGAGAGATGGAGAACAGAAGTGTACTGGTTTCATTTTTTTTAAATGTTTAGTGCTTTCTCCCATAGCAGCACTTCATAATGCCTCAGGTCTCTTGTTTTTCATATTAGTTTTTAAAGTATTTGTATTGCTATGCGTTCTTGTATCGGTTTATATTCGTCTGTATCCGACTAATATTTTTAATCATGATATTCCTGTATCCCCGTTTACTGGATATGAAAAATCATGCCAATTTTCCTGCAGATTTCCCTTGTACCATAAATGTAAATTGCTTTGCAAAACCGACATTGTTGTACTGGTAAATCACAATTCTGTGCAAATCTTTTAAAGTAAATTTCAATTAAATACCGGTAAGTCAGGATTTTGAAAGTAAGTGTAAGAAAAAAAGTGTGTATCAAATTCAGTCTGAAGTAAAAGAATGTGCAGTTTGTCTCAATTTTCTGACATTAAATTTCACTTCAATAGTCAGAAGTCTTTACCTACCAAAAGAATGCCTATTGGCTTAAAAATAATGAATGAGAGTCTGAAAACAAGCCTCTGTATAGCTTGTATGTTGTACCTTTTGAATATCTATTCTTGCATATTATATGAATAAGTTATGTTTAACATGGCTTTGTCTAAATCGACTTATTGTCAAAAAGAAAAACATAAATTACAGGGTTTTTTCTTTTTAGTGAGTAACAGGAATGAAAATTATAGAAAAGAAAATTTAGGGATGTATTTTGAAGAGTTTTTCTGATTCCCTGATAGTAAGAAGGATATGATCAGGAATTACACTAACATTTACACGGCTGTATACATTATATCCTCAGTTTATTATTTTCAACTGTTTCATCAATGGCTATGAGAAGGGATTGGTTTATGACTTGAAAATTGTATTTCCCTGTTTAATCAAGAATATTTTATAGTGAGAGTTATCATATAGACAAAGAAGTAATTTATACATATACAATGTACTTGCGGGCTGTATATTACTCATTTTATATTTGGATGCGGGCGGGATGATATTCCATTCTGATCATCCGAGAGACAGAAGGACGTTCACTAACAAAGTTTACAAGTTAAATCCCTTCTGGTTTCCATCACACACGATATGATTTACATTATGTTCAAGAGAAGACGGATTTTTTTAACTTGGCTATTTTTTTTTCAGAATTAAAAGGGGAATGAAACCTCCTGACTTCACTAGTTTAATCAAAATGGCAGCTCCCATGGGAAATAGCTTGAAAGAAAATTGTAAACTTTGCTAAGTTATTGCATTGTAGATTTTCAAGATATTCTGAACTAGCTTACAATTTTTTTACTAGGGCTGTCAGCTAAAGTTTGTTGAGTTTCATTTTCCTTTAATGACATCAAACGTCATTTACATTGACATTTACATTGCTAGTCATATTTCATTTCATGATGGGATGCTATTATTTGTATTTTTATGTTTATTCCTCTTTAATGTTAGTGTAGTGGAAACCTTAGGGTATTCATCAGTATATTGACAATAGGCTATGAATTAGTACAGGAGTACCAGTTTTGTTTATCTTGTCTTGTTTAAAATAAGGACGATTACTTTCAGTTTCATTCAAGAGAAGATAGGAAAGATGGGAGGGTTGAAAATATGAAATAAGATTCATTAAAAATAAAAATCAAAGCTTGTCTTCAAGCGATCAAATGTAAATATACATGCATTACCAAGTAAGAAATGGACCCCATTATATGGTATGTAACTTCAGCCAAGAATACAACACTTCATTGCTGGAGTGGGACATCTATAGATTTATATTTTTATCCTTCGTTTTTATGCCCTTCCCAAATAATAATTTGGGTATTTTATCATACTTCACTTATCATTTTCTATCACCGGTAGTGATCTTGAATAATTTTATCCATTTCTCGTTCTCTACATGTACTTCTCTTTTTTTTAATATAATTTAATTGGCATTGTGAGAAAAAATTGTTGTTTCTTAATATACTGAACCAATTACATTCAAATTCTGAGGATTTGTATTTGTTTACATTTTTGACATTTAACTCATGAAATACACTTTACACATTCTCTTATTAAACATGAAAAGAACCCACATTTTACAAGATTCTTATGGCATGTAGTCACACAATTCTTCTTTTTTGAGTTATTTTACAAGTTTAAACCAAAATACTGATTTCTCTGAGGTATCGTACCTGAACACGAACGAAGTTGTATAATGATAGAACTTGCATTTTTACAAGTAGTAAATAAGAGCACATTCATAACGTAATGTGTATTTGTTACTCAAACCATTTTTGTTTTAACGTAAAGAAAAAAGAAGTACCGGTAGGAGGAAAGAAAAAAAAACTTTTTCTGGAAAAGGGAAAGGTAGAAGTGCTGCATATTTGGTATTAGGAGAGATCTGATGTGACCCAGTAATGTTTATGCTATAGACGTGTAGTCTGTTTTGGAATATAAATAATCCAACTTAATATATAACCAAGCTTCACAAACAGTACTACTGTGTATGGATACTGGAAAAAAAAACTATATTTGTTTATATAATCATTTTTCAGGTTATGAAACATAATTTATATTTCTGACTTTTTGTTGCCCTTTTTTCTCTTGGATGCGGTCCAATCTATCTAATGTTTAACCTAACTCATGTTACTCATAGTTTTATTATTATTTTGATATCGCGTTATTAATTGATCAGATAAATGGTGAAGCGTTCGTATTTTCTGTACGCACTGTTTTTTATTTTATCTAAAGACGGAATCAGACACAAATTTGTGTTGATATTTATATGAAATAAAGTTAGTTACTCAGTATTTATAAGAAATGAGAATGTACTTAATAATTTACCAAGATTAAAAAAGATTTATATTTGTATAACTTCCTGGAATTAAGGTTATATTGTTATATACATTTCTCATGTTACTGTTAATAAAGTGTAAAGTTTATCTCGATAATAAAAATGTTATGAAGGATGCTGAACTGTTGTAATACAGGAGTCAATGTTATAGCATTTTTCTTCAACGAATATGCCCTTTTCTGCTAAAAAAATAATGAATGTGATTTTGTAAATTTCTAAACAATGAATATGTGAATATCAACATTTATGTAACAGTACCATTTTTTAAAAGAGTGAGCATAATGCAAACATGTCGTGTTCTGTCGTTTCCATATTACATGTACATGTATGTATGCTGTATGGTGGTATGTGTAATACAATAATCATGTGGTAGATTTGTTTTCTAAAATATGTCTATTGATTTGCAACGAGAAATGTCTTTGTACCCTGAAATTTATTATATCCATCTATTTAGTGTTTAGAGGACAAAGCACTTTGTACCTTTGTAAATAGTAATAAAAACATGTGGGAATTCCTTTTTTTTAAAGATGATTTAAATTTTACGAAGAAAAATGTGAAAATTTTGTTTCTCGAAGGAACCGATACTGTACCATTTGTGCCATGTTATATGCTTTGCGATAGTTCCATTTGGTAATAAATCGGTCATCTTATGTATCATATGCAAGCCGTTTCAAGTGTTTTTTGTTTTATTTTGATATATTGCACATCCTCCTCACTCTTCTTCCTGTCAATATATTCTTGGTTTTTTTAATGTCACTACTTCTGTCACCCCTCCCCCCTCCCCCAACTAAGCATTCACCTTTCTTTATATACACACACATGTACAGGGGGGTGTTTCACAAAGATCCTAAGTTGAACTTAACAATTATGGAAAGCCGTTAGCATCTACATGTATGAAAATATTTTGTTAAAGTTATTTTAAAAGGCATAAAAATGTTGATTCAAATCTTTCATATTTGTTATTATCAAGGAGAGTTCATGTTCTTGATGCAGAATTTATAAAGTCTAAAATACTTGATATTTCACTTTTGAACATAATTGTTAAGTCCAACTTAGAATCTTTGTGAAACAACCCCAGGTCTCTTTCCGTCTCTCTCTAATCTCTCTTTTTCCTCACCCTTCTTTATTTCCTCTCCGAATTAGTATTCACATCATTCTATCCCCCTCTTTCCTTCCCCTCATTTCTCACACAAATTATTTTTTTATCATTGGAGTCACTGTTTCTGCTTGTTCTCTACCCCCCCCCTTTTCTCTCTCTCTCTCTCTCTCTCTCTCTCTCTCTCTCTCTCCCTCTGTACCTTTATCTCTTTGATATCACATGTTTAGGTCTACTGATGCAGAATATAATTTGTATTTTTCATTTTGTTTATACTATATTTCTTTTGTTCACACTATATATTGTATTATTCAGCTCTTGCTGCTGCTCAGTTTTTATACACCAATAAATAAAATAAATGACAAAAAAATCTGTTACAGAAGACCACAAAACAAATATATATTTTATAAGTCTTTACATCTTTTTTTTTTATTGGAACACTTTTGAAAATATAACAAGTAAGGCAAAGGTGTACTTCATGTTGGAAGATTATACATGTATCATTATGATAATGGAAGAACAAGTTACAAAGTACAATAATCTTGAAATACATGCTTGATTGATTAAGAAAAATAATCTCGGAGTTTTAAAAAAAGCATGATAAATGATGTAATACCTGCATAGGATTTTCATGTTTTTAAAGATTCTACAAATGTGCATAGTTTACAATTAACAGAAATATTAATGCCCTTTAGAATATAATGCTAACATTATAACATAAAAAGGCTGGAAGACCTATTTGGTTTGTTAACATTTAGGACAAATCTCATATGCAAGTAAAATCGAGGAAAATAAATGCTTGTACATGTAGTGTCAGACTGGAGAGCATTTCAAACAATTTGCTTTGATACAAAAGCGTTGAAATAATTGATTTAGCCAATACTTCAGGTGGGCCATTGAACAACAATAATACGCACACGCATAGCGCCGATACAGATTGTCTAAGACACGAACAGGGAAGAAAAATGCTAGATAACTTCAAAGGAGGCACATGCATCCCGATGAATTCAAACAGGATATCCCTGAATGTTGCTAAAGATTGTATTGAATACTTCTATACTTCATTGCATTTAGCTAAATGTTTGTGTATTCTGTAAATCCGTTTGGATACAGTAAAACCTGTTTATAAAGACCACTCACTGGAGTCAAAAGCATGGTCCTTATAAGCAGGTGGACTTTAAGTACAAGTTCCAATGAGAACTAATTTTCAAGAGATACATAAATATGGTCTTTATAATATATATCGACAGATGGTCTTTCTAAGCAGGTGGTGGCTAAAGCAGATTTGACTGTCTTAGGAAAAACTCGAAAAAGGCGCTTTCATGTTCGGGGATTTACTTAACAATACCGTCAGATCATTTACTATATCCAACACAATCACAAAGGCTTTTGAAAAATCAACCAATTGTAATTTTGACCGTGCCTTGTTCACGACTCACTGAAATGTGCAAGCATTATAATGACGTATAATGTAACCCAAACACGATTTCTATTGGACTTATAAAAGGGTGTTGAAATTGCCTTCAAATTAATTTTTCAAAAGTCTTTGCGATTATAATACTTGTACTTTAAAAGGTGTACAAACATGAAAACATACTCCTACATAAATATCTACATGTACGTTAATTAGCACCTAAGGTAAAAATCATTAAATGATGTATGAGAGCAATAATTATTGAATAATCAATGAAGGGTTCAAAACTTCAATGGGAAAAATGCCAACACTTTAGGATTTCTACTTGCTCACATAAACACATCATATACAGGCCATCCACTCATATCTTTGGATAAAAAAGTTTTGTATTATTTGCACTTTTGAAAAACATATATTCAACCCACATTTTAAACGGGTTCACCAGCTTTTTAAAATCTTGAACAAAAACCTTAAGGCATACAAACTAGCCCAGTAAATGCTATTCGGTGGATTCAAATTATATGTTCACACTTACATGTACATGATGTACGAATCATTTTGACAGAAAGTAAGGCTAACTTTGGTCTCTTATGATGAATCTAATTACTGTTTGTAAAATAGTGATGCATAACAAATATCCACTTCATATAATACAAATTTACATGTACATTCTTGAAGTGTAAAACACTGAAATATAAGCGTTAAGTATACTCATTGCCATCTAATTTAGAAAAAACTTGTGTAGCAGAATTATTACCTGTTTCAGCATAATGCTGAATATGATAATGGCACTTTACAAAATTAAATTTGGTAAAGTTGCAAGTAGTGCTGAAATAAATTAAGGTTATCTCTTGACCTTTATTATATAGAAGATTAAAAATGATATATCTTTTTTTCCCTTTCATTTACCAATTCAATTATATATATGGAGCTGTGAAATGTCATTCAGGCACCTTTTTTTTATTCTTTAAAAATACTTGAAATCCTAAAAAAACATTCTATTTGAAAATACCCTTGGCTATAAGTAGCAGTAGATATAACTGATGATTAAATGCTTCAATTGGATTTCTGCATTTATTTCGGGGTTTGGGAATCAGCAAATCAATAAATTCAACCAAAACTATGCGGGCCCTACGTTAACTATAATCAATGTGCAGAGTATATGTACATGATCATGGATAGAAGTCTTTTGTGATAAACACACTATATATATGTATAGCCCTATGGCACTTCATAGCACAATTATGGAAGATTGAATCACAATAAACAGATTTCAATGACAGTGATCCTTTGCATGTTCTGCAAAGCATTGTATACTAAACAAATATAGCCAGCCTTTGATCCATGAGGCAAAATTTGAAGAACAGGGAAAACCCTCAACTTTAAATTAAAGGCACAGTCTTTAAAAATAAGGCACTGTTTTGATGAAGTTGTTCAATAGTTTCTGCTGATTCTTTTCAAATCTAAATCAAACATTCTAGAACACAGAGATAGTAAGCTGCACAAGAGCAGATACCGTATTTCTTCATATCAATTTCATCAAATAACATTCTTTCACCATCTTAAGTTGGAGAATATATTTGTATTTCAAGAGCTTTGGCTGTTCTTTTCATCTCAAAAGGAATATAATAATGAACACACTACTCTTTAAACTACCGGTAATACAACTTTGGAAGAATCTTCAGGAAGCTTCATGGTTGTTACTTTAGATCTGTACATGCAAGGACATAATTTGTTGTTGTCCAATATGTTACAATGTATTGTGGAGCTCTGTACATAGACTGGCTTCAGATGCAGACCGGAAGATCAGTCTATTTCCTTTGGGATATGTTCCACTTTACAGACGTCTGGCTCCACTGAATGGTATTTGGCAATTTGGTGTCCCATTATGTTACAAAGTATTGCAGAGTTCTGTACAGAAATTGACTTAAAATGTAGACCCGAAATCAGACTACCGGTACATGTGTTTCAATAGGGGATCAGTGGTATGCTCTGCTGATGTATTTTACAGGAACATAATTGACACACTAAAATTGCATGTCACATGCATACATGTTTATTATATACTTTTTACCAAATTGATACAATTACATTTACATGCAGACATTTGGAAGCCAATGCATACGGTATGCAGGTAATGAACTCCAAATATCAGAGTCGCACCACCTAATTAACTCCACTTCGACACCAAACCAACCAATTCATGGCCATTGGGGGCAATATAAATTGTTGTTCTGATGCTTTATTATGTAGTACTCAAATACTTTTACTGGTATGTAAATATATGCATATTTAATTACAGTGGAAGTAAATTATTCAGTGGATCATGTAATAAAAATTGTTCCCCTCTTGAATGACTGATTTGGGAAAATGGGTAATGGTTGGCTTAAAGTAGAAAAGCAATACCCATTCTAATGATGTGATATCTAGCATACAAAATTTCTCACACAATAATATCGACAAAAATAAAGCTTTGGTTGCAGATGAATTGTCTCATACAGAACAAAATTTAAAAAAGTTATGGCAAGACTGAAAATTACCCATTTTATTTAACAATGAAAATAATATCACCCAAACCCTTTATCTTTCTATCTCAATCTGAGTTTCAAGGCACAATTTCTTGGATAATTAAACACAAAATCAGATCATTTTATGTACATATTTACAATACATTTACAGATTTTATCATGAAATAAAAAAACAGAGACATCAATTTAAAAAAAACTTAAGTACTTTCAAAGCTTGAAAATATGGGGAGGGGTATTGATTGAACCAATCAAAGCACAGGTATATCTTGGCAAGCACATGAAGCAAAGAAACAGTAAAAAGCGATTGCAAATAAGTGTACGGCCATAACTGTTACTGAAGCCATTACAAACATCAGATAAACATGTTTTTTATTGTAGGGTAAAATGTCCCAAAGTTAACATGCAGCAGTCAGAATGGAATGATAAGGAGGTGTTATTTACATTTTTCAAACATGACGTGATACATGCATTGATGGAAGATGGCACCCATGAAAAATTACTGGGTGAAGAAAAGAGGACATGAAAATGACTGAAAACATCAACATGGAAGTTCTATTACGGTAAATAAATATATACATGTACTTTATATCTTATCCTATCTTAACTCACAGGTTGTACATTCATAACATTTTGAATGGTTTCACTCATCGGAAGCCATTTTGCTTTCATACAACATTACTTGAATTTCCTTGTAACAGCAAAGTGTTCGAAAGAGAAAAATAATGTATTCCTATCATCAAATTAACAATATCTGTCCAAATCAGAGGATAATAATATGGAAGTTTAAAAATGAAAAATTAAGCACAGGAAAGATTTCTTTCCCACACGTGCCTAACTTCAGTTCACTTATTAACTAAATGAATGGTCATTTTTTTAAAGCAGAGTGGCAGTAACAACTATACACAAGAATGGTTAGTGAAATGCAATGAAATGTATGGAAGCCATGTGAATCACACTGAATGTCCAATGAAGCTGAGGGTACAAAACAAGAATTAAGAATGATGAAATGACAAAAACTGTCTGCTAAAGGCATAGGCACAAGGAAGATCCATTATAACAAGGACTTCCTTTGAGAAGAATATGGTGGAAAAAATGCAGTGAAACAACTTGTTTAGGATGGTTAACTGTGAATATGACAGAAAGCTATACAACGAAAGGAGGACTTCTTTTGTCAAGGATATGGACAAAAAGATCTAGCGGTGACACAAACACAAAGAAAGAAGAACAGTGTCTATGAAACAGAGCTGTACAACGAAAGGAAGCACATATTTTACAAGACATGCCACTACAGACAATGAAGGATGCATACCCCATCCCAGTCCCGTTCATCTTCACATATTTACAGTATATTTTCTGTTTCGGAGCCAGAACGGCTTTAAATTGATGTCAAATGAGATGGACCAATGCCCTTCTGGCTCCAAGCAGGTGATAAGTACAACCTTGTGCAAGTCTGTCAATATACATGTAGTTCCATTCAACATGAAAAACTGGTAGGTACGGTGTAGGCCCAACTGTACAATAATCTTTCGACAAAAGATTAATTATACTTGAAATGCTATTTCATTTCATAGATTCTCCATTGAAAATAAGAGAAATGGAATGTAGGCCTTGCTTACAAGGTTTAATAGAGAGGTGTCTTCGAAATCCTCTTGAATTCCCCTGTGCATATTAAAATAGAGGAACAAAAATAATTGTAACTAAACTCCTGCTAAGCCAGTATTTGTAACGTGAATGGAAGAATCTTAACAGAATCACAGAGAGGTTGTCCAATTTCTACTTGATTATTCAATATCAAAGACCCATGGAGTCCCGAGAAAAACTCTTAGCAAATAAAACAATTACAGTCTTTTGGTTTTCTCTCAGGCATCATGCATCCATGGGATTTCACCATTCTTTGTTTCATATCTATGCTACAACAACACAAGACGTTTTGCAACAAATATGTGTATGGCTAGGATACCCCCTTATCAGCATCAGCCAGGTCCAACATTACAGACTGGATGTATTCATATAAATCTCCTTCCGCTGATCAATTTAAAGCTACTTTAACATGTAGCTGTAGAGGGAGATATAAAAAAGGAAGAGAAGGAAAAAAGGGGATGGGGTAGATAGAATGAAAAACTGTTATAGAATGAAAGTGAAAAAATACATGTATGTTGCACCTCGAAATATGAGCAGTGTAAAGTGACACTATTAGATAACCATGACATGGAAACATAATAACATATGAACATAAACCCCAAGCTTGAGTTTTGTACAAAAACACAATTATTATAGTATTTTTTTAATATAAATATAATTAGATGCTGAATGATATTAAATTCTCTAGTCCCTCTAAATAATATTTTATTATTAAATATATATATATATATATATATATACATCTCTCTGAAAGACAAATTTGAAGTTAATTACCGCCTTCTTGCAAGCAACCCATATGATTTAAAGCAGAATAAGTATACCCATTCAGTGATAAGAAACATATGGCAAATAAAAGACTGCTGAGAATAAACATTTATAATGTAAATACATGTGTACATAAGAAATAAGACAAAATATAAAAATATCTATCTGAAATAATGCCCTTTAAAAATTAAGAAAAAATGTATGAGAATAAGATGAATTAACTTATTCAGGCCAAATCATGCGATGTCTTCTTTCATGACGTTGCCATTCTTCAGCTACCCTAAAACTATGACTACAAAACTGACACTGGTAAATGGGCAAGCGATTAGCTACAGGACCAAAGGTGGAGGACTTACTGCTCTGACTCTTCCTCTGGCTCTTCTGGACATCGCTCTCACTGCCAGAGCTTCCGCTAGCACCCACAGAGTGACTCTTCCGACCGTTCTTTCGGATGGCTGTCAGGGATTTGGGTTTGCCGGCGTGGCGATGGATGGAGAGGTGGCGTTGAATGGACGCCTTGGTGAAGCAGGAAAAGACACAGTGACGACACTTGAAGGGGTAGCGATCCGTGTGGAGCTGGAGGTGCCTCAAGGCATCGCGTCGATTCATCAGCTTCAAAGGACACATGTTGCAAAGGAATGGATTCTTGACAGAGATGGTTGTATCCTTGAGATGCATCTCCGTGTGCTGCTTCAAATCTTCTGCATTCCAGAAGCGCATGTTGCACATCTTGCATATCTGGGTGGGGGCCAGTTTGACCTTGTGCTTCTGCTGCACATGCTCATCCACTTCCCCCTGGCTGCCAGCTTTGAAGAGGCATTGGTCGCAGTTGAAGAACTCCCCACTGTCGTGTATCTGCATGTGAGCTTTCATCTGCTCTTTCCCAGTCAGGTAGCCACACTGCGGACACTGCGCTGTGGAGCAAACATCCCCCAAGACCTCCTTGATCTGACTGCTAAAATGTATTTTCCTAAGATGTATGGTCAGTTCATTCTGATCATCCGTCTGATACTTGCACAGGTTACAAGGATGCTTCAGGACAACTGGCTCTGAAGGCTCTTCTGAACTGGCAAGACTTTCAATTTCTTTTCCTTCCGTCATCGACTCAGATGATTCAATGACACTAGATGAAGAATGGCTTTTGTCACGGCTGGATTTCTTGCTTTTCTTCTTCTTGTGGTGAACAATCTGCTTGTGAGCTTTAAAGAGCTTACTGCTGTTGAACACCATAGGACAAAGCTTACACTGATAGACTTTAGGTTCTGGGTGTGAAACGCTGTGACTCTTCAGCTTTGAGGCTTCATCAGTGGTAAACTCACAAAGGTTACAGGTCAAAAGAGGTCGTTGGTGACGTTTGGTGTGATGGCGCTTCAGGTGATGCTTATAAGCAGAAGAATAGTTGCACAGCTTGCATTTGTATGGCTTCTGCTTTTCGTGAATGGTGAGTACATGCCTTAACATGAGTCTCTTTTCTGGTGTCCTGTAACTGCAGGCATGACAAGCCAAGGTGCGGAACTTGCGATGCTTCGTTTCATGCCGTTCCATAGAGTCTTTGAAGTCAGTGGCATACTGGCACATCGAACACTTGTAATTTCTTGCCTTCTTGGGTGATTTACCACCGAGCTCACCTTCTCCTTCCCCACTCCTCGCCGGAGATTCTTGACCAGCTGATGTAGGAACATCTGGTGAAATATCACTGTCAGTATCCATCAAATCTGTGACAACACTGTATTTGTTTTCCAAGCTAGCCACATCAACATCAATGGCTCCTACTAGTCTGATGCTGTTCTTGGGCTTTCTGACATGTGTAAGCTTTCCCGATATTAGTGGGATGGGGGATGAAGTAGGTTCTTCTGGGACATCAAGCTGCTGCACGACTTGGCACACATCTGGCAAACTTACAGCCTGACTTTCCTCTGGATCGCTCTTAACTGTCATATCAAGTGAACTTTCTACATCTGGACTCTCTGCTCTGTCTGTAAAACTCCTTGAACCCATGCTCAAGTCAAGCACCTCATCAACAGAAGTATCAACAACTGGTTTAACAGTTAGATCAAGGGCTTCGGTCTGCTCTCCAGTAGGCTTCACAAGAGAAAGAGGCTCAGGGGTCACCTCACTAAAGCATGTTACAGGAACAAGAATACTTCTTGGTATCTTCCTGGACTCATTTCTCCTCTCTGAAATGCTGTTGTAGTTAGCAGAATGAAGGACCATGTGTGCCTTTAGACCCTTCATGTTTACAAAGGACCGCTGACAGATGTGACAGGTTGCAACAGCTCTAGGTGCCGCTCCTTTGTCTGAGTTAGAAGAATATCCCGGTGGCTTTGGTCTTACCCTTCTGATTTTCTTGGAGATCTGACCGTCATGAAGCTGACAGTGCAACTGGTAATCTTTCTCTGAGTAAGTTGCATATCCACACTGCAAGCAGGTGTAGGCCAGGTGGTTATGCTCCGCAAGATGGCTCATGAGGAAATTGTAGTGTAGGAATGTTGACTTACAAGTATTACACACATAACGCGTTTGCCCCTCCAACATCTCCGCTCGGTAGAGCATCTCATTGAATGGTGTTTGACTGATTGTTTTTGCTGTTGGTGTCGAGGTTGGAGCTACTTTTGGCCTAGGTCCTGCGTAGGGGAGCCCTGGGGGTTGACCAGTACTAGCTGGGAATCTAGTTGGTGGTACATTTACTCTATCAAAGCCAGGGGGGTTAACGTTGGGCACTGGTTGTGGCGTGGGTGATCTAACCCTTGTTGTTATCTGGCTTGCCATAGGAGGTGGGCAATGCATATGCTGTGGTACTGGTGGTCCAAGGCTTGGAGTCACCTGAGGCCTTACAGAGCAAACGGCAGGTGGGTGTTGAGCAGAATGTGGTCTTACTTCAGGAGCTGCACGACTCATTTGATAATTGTGACCTAGGGGATGGGCTGGAGTTTGGCCTGCATCAACAAAAGAAGTTCTGGGCTTCTTTTTGAAGTGAACTTCCTTACAGTGGAGTACTGCACTTTCCTGGGAGCTGAAGTAGGAATGGCAAAGAAGACATCTGTGTAGCATCTGCTGCAGGACTGGTTCCATTTGGATTGTAATGAATTTGCTGGGTTCTGGTGGTGGAGGTGCTCCAGGTATTTTCAGATCAAGAGCTGGGGGTGTCATTGGCAGCTCAGGACTTGACATGGGCATTCTATATTGATCAGTGTGCTCTGCAAGTCCTGGAATGATCTTCTTTGAGCCAAACATAGTACTCGCCCCTGGCTTGGCTCCATACATCGGAGCATTATACATGCTTGCATCAGGAGAACCCTTCATCTTGTTTGACTGTTCCACCATACCTTGCCTTGGCGGTAACTGCTGAAGGGCCATGGAATTTTCAAATGCCATTCGCTCATCATCCATATCTAGTATCCACTCATCACTAAGCCTGAAGTCTGGTTTCCTACTCTTCCTGAGAGTATATTTTCCTTTCATTGCAAGTGGGGTTATCTTGATTGGGGAATGACCAACTCGACCATGTGTCTTCATGTGGCCACACAACTGCACCTTCATCCTGAAGCTTTTGCCACACAGCTCGCATGTAAATGGGAGATCTGCAGGATCCACTCCAGTGGCTCCAGGAACAGTTTGTCCATTTGTTCCAGGTGTCTTTTGTACAGCAGTGTGAGGGGGTCGAGGTCGGCTCCTGACATTCATCATGCACAATCTCTGTTTCCATCCTTTGTGCAATTTATTCAGATGAAATATGAGCAGAGCCAATCTCTTGAACCTTCTTCCGCAGACATCACACTTGTGGGGATGAGTCTTGTTGATGGTGTCAGGCTCCTTGAGAAAAGCACCTGCTTTGGCAGCCTCCTTCTGCTGGAGCATCAGGCGGTACTGGTACTTGCCACCATGAGTTTGACTGATGTGAACCCTGAACTGCCTGAAGGAGGAGAAGGAAAAGCCACAGAGCTCACAAGGATACACCTTGGGGCGTGCAAATGTGTGCTTGGCGCTTTCCATGAACGATCCCTCTTTGTCAACATTGTCGTCTGATGGGGGTGCTCCACTGATGTCTGGTGTTGCTAGTGACTCACTAAAGCTTGGCTTCTTCACAACATGCATTTTCAAATGCTGACAAAGCTGATGGTAGCTGTCGTACTTTAGATTGCAGACCCTGCAAGTGAACTGCTGCTTTCCTACATCTTTGTCCTCTAGTTCTTCCCCATAGTTATTCATGACAGTCATGCTAGCACCAAATTCTGCGTCTCCTGCTGTTTCTACCATGTCAACTGCAGCAATGCCATGAACCGCTCCTTTCAATGAATTTCCAAGGGTAGAATCTGCATTCCTGGATACTGAGCGATACAGATCTACTCCTGAAATTATTTCTCTCTCCCTAAATCTCTTGCCCATAGCAGAATCACGATACTGCCTCTTGTCAATGGCACTGCCATTTCCAGAACCAGTAAATTTTCTGGACAGCAATTCCTTTGTGTGTGACTTCATGTGGCCACCCAACTGGGACTTCTTCATAACCTTGTCACATATTTTGCAGGGAACATTCTTTTCAGGTGGACGTACTTCATTACTCTGCTTGGCATGAACAGATGTATTCTCCACATTCACAGTGTTATGGCTTGGCTCGTGATTAACATTGTCAACAGATGACTGATCACTATCTTGAAGGCAGAGTTCGGTAGAGGCAGTTTTTTCTTTGGACTCAAAGGAATGTGGTACAAACTCAGAGTGGTCCGGCTGGCAGTGCTCATTTTCTGAAGAGAGTGTTGTACAAGAGTCTGATTGAGCACATGGTGATTTTTCTTCAGCATGAATTCTTTGATGTTGAGCTAAGTGACGCCGACTCTTGAATGATTTGGAACATTCTGGGCAGTTATAGAAGCGCTGTAAGGTGGCTGGGTTGATTTTCAGAAGCAGACGAGGCCTACCAGTACTGATCTTTTCACTTTCTGTATGAATTTTCTCTCCATCTTCGTTCACATCTTGCTCTATAGGTACATCCTTGACAGTGTCCACTGGCTTTGAGATATCATCAGAGGAAGTTGGTACTGTTAAGTTACATGCATTCCCATCACTTCTAACTTCTTTAACGGCTGGTAACTCACTTTCGGATGGAGGAGACATCTCTTTCTTGGGCAATTTTGTGCTATAATTTGTAGGTTCTGTTGGATTTGCAGGAACATCTGGCTTGTTTATGTCAGGATTTTGCTCTGCCTTTGAGTCTTGTGGTTTGCATGCTAGACTGGTGTCATGTTTGGGACTTCTACTCATTGTGCTCTTCAAATGCATCTTAAGATGGGTCGCAAGTTTCAGGTTTGATGTAAACTGCTTGGGGCACTCTGTACAAGTGTATAAAAGATGCATTGGAGACACAGGTTCTTGAACAGTATTACCCAGAGAGTCATTCACCACTTGATTTTGAAGAGACTGTTGTTGATCTCCTCCACTAGGCAGTGTACTGATACCAGACCCACTCCTCTGAGTTGCAATCTCTATATGATCCATGACAGTGACTACTTTCCGTCTGTGAATCATAGCATGAACACTTAGCTTCTGTTTTTTGTCAAAGATCTTGTTGCAAATGTTGCAAGTGAACACCAGCTTATCAGATCCTTTGCGTGACCTTTTACCAGGTTTGCTAGACTCAGAAGAATCTGAAGATGTGTTGCTTGGAATGTCATCACTTGGTTTTGATGATTGGGTGAGCCTGTTAATGACTGCATTCAAAACTGATCCTTTCTTTGGAGAAACATTGTTGGCAAGTCCTGCATCACTCTGGGTTGAGATAGGAGGTGACTGTTCAGTTTCTAATCTTTCTGCATTCTCAAGGCTTCGTGAACAACTGTTTGCACGCTTCTCTCTTTGCAACACATTTTCGATCTTGTCATTGACTTTTTGTTGAAGGTTACTGAAGATACCAGAACCTTGACAAGTTTCCATGTTGATCTTGTCAATGACATACAGGTTACCATTGTTTTGTTCATCTTTGGAATCCACTGGATCGTGTTCATCTACCACGTCTTGTTCTGGAGCATCCTGTACTTTATTTCCATTGCCAAACCCAAAGGTATGCTTCATCCACTCTTGTCTGCATTTCTTGTTGTAACGCCCAAGCAGATGCTGGTGGAACATGTTATCACTGTCAAATTCCTTTTTGCAAACTCTACATGTTCCTCCCACACCATTTTCTCCAGTTGTACTCTCTAGATCAGGTTCAGTAGGAGTTGTTGCAGTAAAACCTTCTGAAAGTTTGGTGCTCATATTACTTTCAGGAGTGTCCAAATCTTGTCCATCATCAGATTTAGTGTCCATATCTTCACTGGACATGAAGGCATTTCCTCGTTGATCTGCAGGTAGTTGTGAGAGGTCAAAAATGTGAATACCATGGGATCTCATGTGACTACAGAGTTGCCTTTCACTTCTGTAAGACATCTTGCAGAGATGACACTTGTAAGGTCGGCCAATGAACCGTTGTCGCTTTGGATCCCATCCACTCTTAAGTTGTCTGCCCAAAAGAGAAATTTCCTTTCCCATTCTCCGTCTCCTGATTGCAGAAAAAGCACGTGTTCTACCTCGACAAGATTTATTTCCTCCGACAGAGAATACTATCTTGCGAGCATTCTGCAGATTATGTGCTGGTTTCAGGCGATCCTTGGGTGGCCTTCCTCTTTTCTTTACTGACAGAAAATCTGGCACCTTCAAGTCTTCAGAGTTTTGCACTTCATCTGTTGAGTTGTCTTGGATATCCCTCCTCTCTCTAGCAGCATTTACATCCTTTGGACTCAACTTGACAGAGCACTTCTGTGGCACTATATCTCCAGGGGTAAGAGCGTCTTTTTCCTCAGTTTTCACTGTCTTTGGGGTACCTCTGATTTTTCTGCTCAGTCGTAGAGAATTCAACGGTAAGTTGTATCCCACTACAACTTTTCCATGTGGACATTGGACAAGAGAATTTTCACCTCGCTTTGGTCTTCCCCTTTTCCTCTTCTTGAAAACTTCACAGAACTTGCAACCATCAACTTTTTCTTCTGTGAATGAATCTGACGCAGGAGGCATGATAGAGTGTACTTTGAAGAGGTGCTTTCTCACCCTGTGCCTTGAGGCAAAGACAAGATGGCAATGGATGCATTGGAAGTATAAATTACGCACCCTGTGCTTGAGAGCACTTTGGTTCTCTGTAGTTGAACCATCTGCCTCATTTGGATCCACATTCTCATCTCTCTTGGTTGAATCTGTTTGGTCACTATGTCTGGTAAATGTTTCACTGGATGATAGTCCTTCAAGAGGTGGTATTTGTTCAGTTGCTTCTTCTTTGATTCTGCCAGGATTTCCAGCATGGTGAAGAGAATTTGCAAGTTTCCATTTTGAGGAGTGGATACCCTTATGGCCATTCCGAGCTCTCAAGGTAGGGAATGTTTTGAAGCAAATGTCACATTTGAATGGTCCTTTCCTTTTTTCCATGACTGCTTTCTGTCGTATGTCTGTAATTCCAGAAAGGCCACTATCAAGTGATGAGCCTTCACCATTACTGGTAGCCAGACTCCCAAGTCTTCTCACACCTTTGCTTCTTAGATGAAATTCTTTGGCATGGGTTGACTTATGGGCACTGAGCTTCAATTGAGACTCGTACTTCCCCGAGCAAATGTCACATTGGAATTTTCCGCCACGTCCATGAGAACCAGGGCTTTTACTGGTCTTATTCCTCCAGTAAAGCGTTTTCTTCTTTGATTGTTTCCTTTTATGTACCATCATATGGCCTCGCAACTTGAGAGAGGTCCGGAACACTTTGGTGCAAAGAGTGCATGGAAAACCATCTTGTGTCACTCCAGAAATATGTGAAAGTTGTGTCTGTTGTTCAGCATCTAAGCGGACTTTTGATATTTTCTTCTTTTTTCCAGATTTATTTAGGATATTTCCAGAGCTCTTACCAGTAGCGAGGCCATTTTCATGAGTACTAGACCGATCTTTTGGCCATCTTCCAGAAAGTAGGTTGATTGGATCATTGATGTGCCAGCGAAGGTGCCCTCTCAATTGATTTCTGTTCTTGAAGGTTCTATGACATCTTGGGCAAGGAACAACTTCTGACACACTTGAAAAGTTCTTTGCCTTTGCTCCATTTTTGTCATGGTCTTCCTGATTCTTGCTAGGAATTGAGTAGAAAGCTTCACCCAGTTTTGTTCCCTGAGAAAGGGTGTGATCTTGACTGGGAATATCCGGCTCAACACGTTCTGCAAGTCGATGGCAAAGACTGTCCAATGTATGTGACGATGCATACCCTAAGACTCCATGCTGCTTTCTGTTGAAAGCAGTCTTAGCATCTTGACCTGGTGGGTGCAATTGAGGGAAACTGTTCAGTAGATCCCCCTTACCAATCGCTGAATTCATCCTTGGAGTCATGTCCATCATTCTTGCCTCCATTGCATCATAGTCATGGTGAGGTGGGGAAGAACCAACGACAGGAGTCTCTGCCAGAAGAGGAGGCTCTGGAGAGTGGCTACCAGTGCTGCATACTTCAAAAGGTGATGTGTTGTAGGAGATCTGGCCTTTTTCATAAGAGTTCATCGGGTCTAGGCCAGGCATTAGGCTAAAGGAATCCATGTATGAAACACTCAACCTCTGTCTTGCTGACAATACATCCCCTCCAGGATCTTTGCTGGATTTACCTCCTTCCTGCACAGGCTGTAATCCTAGGTATTTCATTAGCATTGAACGATTCTGGATGCTTTCACCAGTCTCCTCAGTTTCATTAACATTCAGAGAAGGTTTATCTGTTTCCTTCTCTGCATTTATCATAGCACAATCTGACTGGTCTACATTAGTAGGATTCTGTGGAGGGGCTATAACTTCACTCACAGCCACTTCCTTTGGTTCTTGGCAAGATGTGGTGCATTTTTGAACATTATTGTTGACTGTATCTTCAACTTTTAGAGAGCATTTGCTATCATTTTGCATAGTTTCTGATGATGGAAGACTTAGGTTGGAAGAAGTAGGCACGGACGGGGTTAACTCCTGCTTGCTGCATTGTCCTTGTGAGGTAACCTCCGGTGTAGGACAGGTTTTGGCACTTTGACTGGAAGATCTGATGGAAGACAGGTCGGACTTTAGCAGTTCCAATGCATCTAGCGGACTGTCGGATTGGTCTCTTGTGCACTGAATGGTTGGATTGATCTGATTGGTCTGAAATGACAAAAAGCACAAGATTTATATTTAAAAAAAATCAATATAGAAGTATTTATTGCTTTCATATAGCAAACTCTTATAACACAATTACCATGGTTCAAAGTGTTTGGCCACAGTACAAATACCATGGTAGTACCATGGTAGTATCATTACGATTATTACGGTACACTACATATAAAGAGCCATGGTAGTACTGTCTGCATCATGTTAGTACTGTGGTAGTAATGTACCATGGTTTTTTCAGTAAGGGAAAAACTGATTTTTATTTTACACCAACTTATAGGATAGGGGTAGTGGCATATGTATTTTCAGTATCAGAAGAATATCAATCTTGACAGATCAGTGTTCATTTGGTATATATGTTCCCGTCTTTTTCAATCAGCAAAATCATTACTAAAGCCAACTTCCCAATTCCTTCAATATTCATATGATATTGCTTACTCGCTTAGATTCATTCTGTTAACACTATAAAGATAATTTGTATGTCGACTAAAATGTGCCTACATGTATATCAGATAATTCCGTTCATCTACTTGTATTTACAAACATGCTATCTAATAATTATTATCATCTGGCTCTTTAATTTTTGCCTTTGGTACCTCACTGATTCAGCCAAAATGTACTTACATCAGATGATTCATTTTTCGATGGGGCAGCACTGACTTTGGTGGTAATCTCTTCTGAAGAGGTTTGGTTCATGCCTTCAAGCGTAGTTACACTCTCTTCCAATGGCTTGGTAGGAACTCCTACTTCAGCTTTGGTCTGGGCCTGATCCTTGAGACTCTGTCGGTTGTCAGTCGATTGACAGCTCTTCTGGTCCTTCGGAGCCTGAGAAGAAGTCTCACTCCCTTCTTCTGTGTCTCCTAGAGGATGGAGCTTTGCATTGGTTCCTTCCTCGGTGGAATCCACCTCCTGGCCTGGTTGCTGACAATCCCTAACTGTTTCTGGGATATCCACGGCTGTCTCAGAATGCTCCACTCCAAGTCCACCGCTGGCTCTGTCCTTGGTGCATGTTTCCTCAGAGGATGATGTGGTGCCCTCAAGAACGGTCTTGGCTCCATCAGCAGGCAGTCCACAGCTGGCTTTGTCCGACAACAGGATGTCTTTGGATTCCTTTGTCAGACCATCCTTCACAGCTTCTTGGCTTTTGCTATCCTCTATGATCTCCTGCGCAGGATCTTTGTCCTCTCTGTCCTTGGTGCATGTTTCCTCAGAGGATGATGTGGTGCCCTCAGGAACGGCCTTGGCTCCATCAACAGGCAGTTCGGGTTTCCCTTCTGCGGTTCTTTCCGCGCAGCCTACACTAGTTTCACTGCTGCCATCCATGCTGGTGAGACTCTAGTAGACTACCCCTTTCTGCACATAGCTAGCTCCTTGGTTTAGAAAAACCACCTGTTTAAAAGTACAAAAAGTTTTATGTTTGGTTAATGATTTCAAAAACACAAAAAGGCATCTTTAAGAGTTCACAAATATTTATGAAATGAAGAAGTAAAGGTATGCAAATTTATTGTTGTGAATGGAATAAGTTAAGTTTGTCTTGCAAGTAAAATCAAATTGTTGACCATCAGTTTCTTTGCTCATTTGGCTTCAACTTTTACCCACCAACAACAAATTTTCTACCTTTTGTTGTTTGACCTAAGGTGAGTCATCAAATCATTTATTGGCAACATGTAAAGATTAAAAATCATATAATTTCCAACTGAATTATCAAATTGTGTATTTTTTTTGCACATTCAATATTAAGCTTTGATGTCCCTTTCATTTACCATTTCATTTTAGTCATGTAGCATATAAGGCTATGATTTGTATGCCATTTCAGTTCTTAACTGTATTATTATCTCTCAAAGCCTTTTCATGTTCATTTTGCTATCAATACCTACATTGTACATGTATAAGCTACATTGTACCTATAATACCATTTTCAATGATAACTTTTAATCTTCGAGTATCAATCCAATCATCCATGCATCATATTGTGCACAAAACATGTACTGTAATTGAACTGGTCATCATTTGAATATAATGTACAGCAGAAGACATGTGCTCTAATGCTTTTAGAAAGACAACAGGAAGTTGTGCTGTTCATTTCACAGTCTAATAATTCCTGCTTTATTATATGATAATGCATTGTTAGGATGCTATAATGTATGTAGGCTAATGAGTGTACAATGTAAAGGTATGCATAATGGATATTCAATGGAGATAAAGAGCAGGACGAAGATTCAACCCATCTGGCATGAATATAAAATAAGTTCCTTTACAAACACTAAATTAATAAATCAGACTTTTCCTATTTCCTTTTTACAATATTCTTTACCATAGATCTATATAGAAGTCAATGATTTAGACAGCATTTCTGTTTGATGATATGAACAGTCCCATGTACATGTAAGTAATGTAGGGGCTACAGTCCTCAAATGTAAGGAGATGTTTTTATGATTTTGCCACTACAATTTCCTGTACTGTACATGCATACTGTACAGGAATGAAAAGTCCCTGCATTGCTTGAAATATACAAGGATGGCAAGAACAATGCATAGCATCTCCGGTAATGAAAAAAGTAAAGCTCAAATTACTCATTTTTCTTGGGGAATACCATTAACCCCAAGCAAAAGAGCTTAGACGATATTAGACAATCTTTAGATTACTCTGTACCACTACGCCGCCCACCCACCCCCTCCCCCTGCAAGGAAGGGGAGGGGGGGGGGGGGAGTAAGGAAGACCCTTTTAACTCTAGTTGGGCCGGTGTGACAAAAATGTGTGACTTGTTGTCACATGTGGCTTAACCAAAGCTAGTGTAGATAGTGAGCAATTTACATCAATGTTAAGACATTGATTGCAAGTTCAAATTTCAACTAAATGTACGTAGTGGGTTGGTAAACTTGAACTATGGCATGTAAATAGAGACCCATCCGTATGTCTCTCTCGACCCACCCTCGGTCTGTCCCGCTACTTACATCTGTTCACTGTTCATTGGTATGCAGTGAAGCAAGAACCACCTTGAGGCTTGAAGATATGGCTTGATTACTCCATCACGAGGCACTTCATCTCGTATCTGATATGGAGAAGAATAAAAAAATTAAAAAAAAAAAATCATGAGAGACAATTGAACTGTATTTATGTTTCTTTGCACATTTTCCTCCAAGAAAATATGAATGACTGAAATTGAACATATATTCAACAACATTTTACAACATAAATTATACTGGTTTTTAAAAGTTCAAGGCAGCATTTCACGAAACTTTCATAGGTCATAAGTAAAAGTTTGCCAACATCCCATTGAAACATGTACATGTGTATTGTAATTAACACACACTTCAAAGAGATGATGGTGAACTTTGTAAAACAATGCCATGTTGTTTACTGTACATGTATGTCCTGGATCGGTAGAGTGATATGATGCATTTACATGTACATGTAATACAGTCAAGGATATCCCTAAGGTACAGTGTATACTTTTATGTTAAGTTTATCTTTAGATAACTGTTCTTAAATTCAATAACAATCTTATCATATGATGTTGAAAGCTTTGCTCTTTTCCCCTTTTAAACTAAAATCATTCCAATGCAAATGTTATGCTGTGTGATTGAAAATGAGTCTAAAAAGTAGCAAACTATCATTTTGAAATTTCTGCAAATTTTCAGCAGATCATCAAACATTAAAATTGGCAATGCATACTCCTTATTCCAATGCCATGACGGAATGAATATTACATGCCCCACTAATTCTGCACTCATCTTTTTGACCAACAGACAAAAAAGAATGATTAGTCGCACTGGCAGTAAATTGATCCTTGATGCAAAGAGATCTGGAAACAATTATGAATCATCTCTTTCCTATAGTTTCACACCCAAAAGATAGCTACATGTACATGCATGCACACACAAAACGGCACACAGACATAAGTATTACTATGTAGGCCTTACATTGTAGGCCTACATGTACATGTACATTAGTGTAAATTAACATTATACATAGTTTTATAATTTGTTACATATACTTGTAGCTACGTTTAATGAAAAACACTTTAAAACTGCATTGTCATTCAACAAATACATGTGTAGATTAATCTGTATATTGGGGGGGGGGGGGGTAATATAAGTTTGATGAATGACACTTACTTAAGCATATATACTTTGATGAATTACACAACTGTAATTACATCCAAAAGATAAGGCAAAGAGAGAGAGAGAGAGAAAATGTGAGGGGGAGAAAGGGAGAAAGGGAGAAAGGGAGAAAGGGAGTGAGAGAGAGAGAGAGAGAGAGAGAGAGTGAGAGAGAGAGAGAGAGAGAGAGAGAAGGGGAGAAAAGGGGGGGGGGGGGGAGAGAGAGAGATACATTGTAGAAGGGGAAAGAGGATTGTTTGTATAGTGCTACATGTATTTAGGGAGCAATCTCTCTTCTTTAAATGCTTATTTCTTCTCTTTTATACTATGTATGAATCGCACTGTTAATTAATAACTTACTAAGTGTTTTCATTTTCTGACTGAGAGGGGGCATACAATACATGTACTTTGGAGAAAAGACTAGTTTCATAATGCAATGAAACCATTTGGAAGAATCTAAAGTAGTAATACTGAATCCTTTTCATAGTCATTTATGTCTTGTGGCCCTACGATGTACAGTAAGAACTGTTTTTAGAAACTCTCTTTTTTGGTGTTATAACATTCAGACTCTAAATAGTGTTTATTTATAATCTTGTTAATCAGTAACACATGTTACTCTTCAAATTTTCCAAAAGCAAAAACAAACTAGATGGAATTTTGACTGCGCGCAGTCGAAAATGATGCCTCCGCCATAGAGCAATTTAAACAAGTTTGGATTTTAAATCCCCAGTAGTTATTGAGATATCATGATAACAATCTCAATGTATGGAATTTCATAAGTTGACCTCTGTGACCCTTGACCTTTGACCTACGTGCTCCAAAATCTAATCAGATTGTCTTCCTATGGTGATACACACTATCATTAAGTTTGAAGTTTAAATCTCCAGTGGTTCTTGAGATATTATGATATGGTGATACATACTATCATTAAGTTTGAAGTGAAAATTCTCCAGTGGTTCTTGAGATATCGCGATAACAATCTCAATGTATGGAATTTCAGAAGTTGACCTCGGTGACCCTTGACCTTTAACCTACGTGCTCCAAAATCTAATCAGATTGTCTTCCTATGGTGATACACACTATCATTAAGTTTGAAGTTTAAATCTCCAGTGGTTCTTGAGATATTATGATAACAATCTCAATGTATGGAATTTCATAAGTTGACCTCTGTGACCCTTGACCTTTGACCTTCGTGCTCCAAAATCTAATCAGATCGTCTTCCTATGGTGATACATACTATCCTTAAGTTTGAAGTTTTTACATCTCCAGTGGTTCTTGAGATATCATGATAACAATCTCAATGTATGGAATTTCATAAGTTGACCTCTACGACCCTTGACCTTTGACCTACGTGCTCCAAAATGTAATCAGATTGTTTTCCTATAGTGATACACACTATCACTAAGTTTGAAGTTTAAATCTCCAGTGGTTCTTGAGATATCATGATAACAATCTCAATGTATGGAATTTCATAAGTTGACCTCGGTGACCCTTGACCTTTGACATACGTGCTCCAAAATATAATCAGATCGTCTTCCTATGGTGATACATACTATCCTTAAGTTTGAAGTTTAAATCTCAAATGGTTCTTGAGATATCGCGCTAACAAACTCAATACAAGGAATTTCATAAGTTGACCTCTGTGACCTGTGACCTTTGACCTACGTACTCCAAAATCTAATCAGATCGTCTTCCTATGGTGATAAATACTATTCCCGAGTCTTAAGTTTAAATCTTAAATGGTTCTTGAGATATTGTGATAACGGTCAAACGGGACGGACGTACGGACGTACGGACGGACGTACGGACGTACGGACGTACGGACGTACGGACGGACAACCCGAAAACATGATGCCTCCGGCACCACCTTCGGTGGCGGAGGCATAAAAAGTATTAATATCTAAATACTATGATTTTACTTGTAAATGTGTTTCTATATTGCAGGACAGGTACATGTACATGCACAAGAATTTCTTTTTTTCTTCTTCTTTGACACTGCATGTAAGAAGACCTGTATGCATGTAGAAAACAAGCAAAGTTGAGGGGAAAAAACAAAGGAGGGAAGATTGATGGCAGAGACATGGTATTTTGAGGCAACGACAGATAAGAAAGCCCCGATCTGCACCAGTGACATGCAAGCCACTCCATGAAATCTGAACCTGGTGACCTTTACTCAGATTATGAAGTCGGCATGTGACTAAAAATGCATTGTATGCATATCAGAAAGCTACAGTTATGGGCGGGGCCAGGGTCCCTTGATATCAGAGGGGAACAGGAGAGATTTGATACCAAACAGTTATGCATCGATCCTCCTGTATTGTCTCACAGAAGCCAAACAATGGAATTGTTTTTGCTCTAGCTGTGCATAAATGCAGAGTCAAGTTGTGAATTTTTTTACATTGGACTGCCTGTGTGTGTAGAACAACAATGTGGAGCATGCCTATTAAAATTTATGGACAACAAATAAGCTATATAATATAAATGTAAGCATGCACCCTTGTGTTAGTTAGCACTATAGGGAACAGGGTACATGTTTAATGACCGATGATTGAGAGACAGAACTTTGTTTTCTTCATTGAAAGAGAAAAAGAGAAAGAAAAAAAAATCTTCATAATTGGACAAAGTATATATTAATTACGTTTTTAACAGTCTTTCTGAAAAAATATGTACAATAATTGTAAGAGGCAGTCTTCACTTTTTTACAAAGCTTATATTCATATTAATTCTTTTCTAAATTCTTATTTTAAAAGATAGCTAATAAAATTATAAAAAACAAAAGCATAAACATTTTGCTGTGTATAACTGATTTTCCAATGAATTGTTTTTAAAAAAGTGGTTTTTACTTTTACTAGAATTTTTCTTGTCTAAAAAATTCTCTGTGGCATGATTTCTTTTTCCTTATATCAGATAGAACATCAGAAAAATAAACTTGCACTCGATTGACTTTCTTCAACTGTACTGTACGTGGAATAAAGTAGCAGGCTTCTGGTTTTCAATTATTGCTGTCATTCATTAAATGCATTCATCCATTCATTCATTCATTCATCCATTTATTTATTTGTTCATTCATTCACCTACTGCATTCATCATTCATTCATTCAACTACTGCATTCATCACTCATTCATTCAACTACGGCATTCATCATTCATTCATTCATTCATGGCATCAATTTATTCATTCATTACATTGCATTTGTTTATTCATTGATGTGTTCTCATTCATTTGTTGCCTTTATTGATACATTCACTTGTTCATTCATCCATTCATTTATTTGTTCAACTATTAAACTGTTGCATTCATCATTCATTCATCCAATGCATCCATTCATTAATTCTTTCAATGCATCCATTGATTTATCCGTTCATTACTTACTACATTGCATTCATTCATGCGTTCAGTCATTCATTTATTCATTCATCGATCCATTCATTGTATTCATTCAGTTTAATAGGCAGTTAAATGTTTAATTCACACGTTCATTTATCCATTCATTTAATTGTTCAATTATTAAACTATTGCATTCATCATTCATTCATTCAATGCATCCATTCCATTCATTCACTCATTCACTTACCAGTATTCATTCATAACATTGCATAAATGTCTTTTTTCTTGTTTGGTAATAATACAATCAATTCCCTTCATTAATTATGGGTTCATTCTATGGAAGTGAATGCCTAGAACTTGGAAGTGCACAAAGATGAATTAGAATATCAAACAAGTGTTGAATGGAAGGAAAATCCTATGGTACTACATGTATACTGTCAAAAGCCCTACTGTGCAGAAAAGGAAACTTTTGTTTCCATGTTTTCATTTGTTTCCAGAATGCAACAAGAACTGTCTGCAAAAAAGGAAACATCCACACAACTTGTCACTTGAATTAACATCATATTTCCTGCAGTTTGTGTGCAATAAGGGAAAGTTCACTTCCCCAATACCCACACATAC